TCATATTTATTTTTATTGTCCGGATAATTTTTTAATCTTGGAACTTTTATTTTTTTGAGATTGTTCTTTAAATTTGTCGATTTGATAGTCGATCATTTAAGTAATTAAAATTTTTAAAAATTATTTTAAAAGATTTTCTCATTAAATTATTATACAATTAGGTATTTGCACCGAAGAGATGACCAACCAGATGAAATGGACCATAATGTAAAAGAAGCATGGGCATTAGGCTATACTGGACGTGGAGTTGTCATTACAATTCTTGATGATGGATTAGAACGGACACATCACGATTTGGCAGCAAATTATGATCCAGATGCTTCCTATGATGTAAATGATAGAGATGAAGATCCAATGCCGAGATATGATTATGCAGATGAAAATAGGCATGGAACACGTTGTGCAGGGGAAGTAGCTGCAGTCTTTAACAATTCATTGTGTGTTGTTGGAATCGCTTTTAATGCAAAAATTGGAGGAATTCGGATGTTGGATGGTATATTTTTACTTTCTTGGGATAGAATCGGCCTCTTTGCGGAGAGACCCTTCAATAGATTTTATTTCTTAAATTTATTTTAAATAATTGTAAAACCTCACAGGTGATGTTACCGATGCTGTGGAAGCTACGTCCCTTAGCCACAATTCTCAACATATTGATATCTATTCGGCAAGCTGGGGTCCGGATGATGATGGGTATTTATTTAAAATAATTATTTTTAATTATTTGAATTCTTTAGACGAACAGTTGATGGCCCTGCAACTTTAACTAAAAATGCTTTTGAAAGAGGAATTACTGAAGGAAGGCAAGGAAAAGGATCAATTTTTATTTGGGCATCAGGAAATGGTGGAAAAGGTTTTTGTTTAATTTTTTGAAGAGAACATTAGAGATTTTATATTTATTAGATTAAATTATTGGGAATTATTTAATAAAATTAAAAAAAATAAAATTTCCTTAAGATGCTGATTCTTGTAATTGTGATGGATATACAAATTCAATTCACACACTTTCAATTTCATCTGCTACTGAACGGGGCAATATTCCATGGTTTATTTAAATTATTTTCCTTTTTAATTCAAAATAAACTTTTTAAAGGTATTCTGAGGCTTGCAGTTCAACTTTAGCCACAGCCTATTCAAGTGGTGCTTCTGGTGAACGAATGATTGTAACAACGGATCTGCGTGACTCTTGCACTAAAACACATACTGGTACTTCTGCTTCAGCGCCTTTAGCAGCTGGAATTGCTGCTTTGACTTTAGAAGCTAATCGAAATTTGGGATGGAGGGATTTACAGGTTTGGAAATGTTTTAGAAAATTCTTAATTCTCGCAATTTTAAAGCATATTGTTGTGAGAACAGCAAAACCAGTTAATCTGAGGGCTGGAGATTGGAGATTAAATGGAATTGGCAGAAATGTTTCTCATTCATTTGGTTATGGTTTACTTGATGCGGGTGCTATGGTTAGATTAGCAAAAGTTTGGAGAAATGTTCCTAAATCAAAAAAATGTCGTGCAATATATCCAAATCCTTACAAGTTTGTTTCTTTTAATTTACATATAAGAAAATCGGAGAGAGAAAAATTTTTTTATCAATTTTAAAATAATGTTAGAGTCAGGCCCGTAACTAGGGGTGTAATTTTCCTCCCTTGGCCCCCTCCCCCCGAAAAAGTCTTGGTTACGGGCCTGGTTAGAGTTTATCATAACGGGGTGGAAAAATTTAAATCATGAGAATTTGGTTAAAAATGGATTTCATATTATTCAATAAAGTTGAATAGTTTGTAAATTAAAATATACTCTAAATTTTCTAACAAAAATCTTTTACAAATCTTCCTTTTTAATTTTAATAATTTTTATAGAACAATTCCACGTGGTAACAGACTACATTTGCAATTATATACAGATGTTTGTGCTGATAAAAGAGATAATCATGTAAAATATTTGGAGCATGTCCAGGCTATCGTAACTTTGAGTGCACCAAAAAGAGGGGATATTCAAATATATTTAACAAGTCCTAGAGGTTTTTTAAAGTTTTTTTTTCAATTTATAAAAAAATTATTTTAAGGTACTCGTTCAACTCTTTTAGCCAAACGTCAACGAGATACGAGTAGAACAGGATTTAAAGATTGGGCTTTTATGACTACACATAATTGGGGAGAGAGTGCTTATGGAACGTGGTCTTTGGAAATTGATAATGATGGACTTGATGGTAAGGGAAAAAATTTTTAAATCTTTGTTCTAATCCAATTTTTTGTTTTGAAAGTTTCTGACTTAAAATTCACCTCTCCCACAATAAAATAATTCTTTTGATTATTTAGATGCTGAATTGCTTAAATGGGAATTGGTTTTATATGGAACAGATGTTTTTATTGGGCCAACAGGCTTCGAACCCTCCTCTGCTTTATCTGAACGTTCTGTTCAAACATCACACAACGGGGATTCCTTTACTGATTCTGGCGTTGAACAACAGTCAATTAGGTGGATTTTGGTTTTGATTGCCTCTCTTTTGCCTCTATTAATTGGACTTTTAGTTTTATTTTAATTATTTTTAAATGAGAAAATTATTTTTAAAAAGTCCTCGATTTGATATTCTGTTACTTTAATTCCTCAATTTTTTAAAATTAAAATAATTTTCTCAATTTCAATACAAAAGGATATATGTGATTGACTTCAAAAAAGTAAAAAATATTACCTACTTTTTGACTTTTCGGCGCTTTCATAATTTTTTGTGCTTATACTTGCCCCTTGAATGATTTTAAAGCAATCCAAATTTTTAAAATAAGTTATTTCCTAATTCTCGGTTTTGGATTGCTTTTCAAAATAATTTTTCCCAATTTTTTGCCCAATTTATTTAACAAACTTCTCATTATAATGCTCTTAAAAATATTTTATTTTCCTTTATAACAAAAACTCTTTTTAAATTTTTGACTACATAGTTTACCTTTTTTGTGTTTTTTAATTTTATCTCCATTTATTTTACTATTTACTTAAATTTGTGGGCATTTATCTACTTAATTATTGTATATTTAAATATATATATTTAAGTCTGTTAGAGAGATTGAATGATTGAAGAGAGTTGATAAATTTTAATGAAAAAATTTTTAACTTCACATTCGATCTCGTATTTTAATTAACCACTTATCTAATAAATATATTAGTTGGCTAGTCTTTTTAAAAATTAATATATTTTTCCTTAATCAAAGATTAGTTTTTTAATTAATATTCTTAAAATCCAAATAATTAATTTTAATCTCATTTTTGTAATTGTCCCCCCTTTTTATCCTTTATTGCATTTTGTTTACGTTTTAATCATTTTAATAAAATAAATTTTTATGATTTAGCGCGAGACATTTTATTTTTTGTTGTAAGTAAAAGATTGCTTTGAAAATATTGGGTAATTTGATTAAATAAAAACTATATTTGTCAACGATCAACATTCTCGAATATCCTATAAAACTATCCTCAAACTATCAGTAGTTATTGATGTCTATTAGAAAATTTCTAAAAAATACTTTGTAGGTGTCAGTCCTTTGTAAATAATCCTCAAAATAAATTTTTAAAAATTTCTTATGTAATTTAATACCAGTTAAAGAACTATTAAAGATTTTTTAAAATAAACAAGTAGTAATTACTAAATAAAAAATATCCTCCTCTCCTTTTTAATCGCTTAATTTCCCTCAATGTGTACTTGATAGACTTTCTCTTCTATTCTTTAGCTCCTTAAAGCTCATCTTCAAAAACATTTAGGAAATATTACACAATTTGTCGCCCCAATTTCTCGCGAGCTTAAAAAAATATTTAATGGAAAGAAAAAATGAACGAACATTTTTAAGAGTATTTTAAAGAACAAGAAAAGATTAAATATAAAAATTAAAAGAAAAAAAGGATTTTGTGTAGCCGTAGGGGAGAAAGTTGCGCAAAGAAAAGTATTTTTAATTTAGAAAGAAAAAAGATGAGTGAAAAAATTTTTTTAAAAAAGGATTGAATACAATTCTCTCTTTTTTGTTAGTTTAAGGAAAGAGGAGATTCTTTCTGGAGAAATTAAATATTCTCAACAGAAAATTTTGTTTATTTAATTACATTTTTTAAAAGAAAATTTAAATTATTTTTATTTTCTTTAATAATTTTTAACAGTTTTTTATTTTCTATGATGGGGAATTTGAGCTGGAGATTCAAAAAAAAAGAATTTTGGAAAAAAAAAAGAAAAAAAAAGAATTATTAAAGAAAATAAAAATAAAAAAAAAAGAATTTTGGTTCTAGTGATCTAAAGTTTTTGAATTAAATGGATCCTCAAGTTCTGTCCCTATTTTCTCTTTTTCCTTTTCTCTTTTCAAAAATTTTTGATTTATTTAAAATTAAAATAATTAATAATTAAAAACAATTTAAATTCTTTGCAAACTTTCAATTTCCTTTATTCTCTCTCTTATTAGTTCCTTTATTTAAAATATTTAAAATTTAAAAGTTAACACAATTTTCTTCATTTTTTTCTTAATTTTGAGGAAATTAAGCAAAAATAGGATGAGTGTATTTTCTTTTAAAAAATTACAAGAAAGGAATTGTGGGAAAGAGGACAAGAAGAAGAATAAAATAAGGTAAAAAAAGGAGAAGAGGGGGAGATCACCTTCATTTTGACTATTTTTATTTCTTTTTTATTCTTAGTCTTCCGTAACTTTCAAAATCCCTCTCTTTCGCTGCTTGATTTTTTTTTACCTCATGGCTTTTTTAAAAGGAAATTCTTTTTTTTTTGAATTGATTTATTTTTAAATTTTAGTAATGATTAAAAATAATTATGTTTATTTTTTATTATTTTTAATTATTCAATTAATTAATTTTCAAATATTTTCTGATTGCGAAAATACTAAAATAATTATTGGTAAAGAATTTTTTTAAAAATTAAAAAAAAATAAAACAATTTTTGAAGGTAAACAACAACAAATTAAACGTTCACTTCAAAATTCAACAAATATTTTTAATAAATTCAGTTCAAATCCTTTATTAACTAAATTGGAAATGTTTAATGAAGGAGGGAATTATTTGGAAAATAAAATAAAGTAAGGAGTTTTTAATAAAAAATTAAGAAAAATTTACGGAAACATGTTTAAGGTAAAAAGAGTTTTTGAGATAACTGACGTCCCATCTTGTTAGCTTTTAATATTTAATTGTAAAATTATAACAGAAACGTTAATTAAATAATCTGAAATTTTGTTTAATCGAAAGCTTTGAGTAATTTTAAATTATTTTTAAGTACTTTTGGAGGCTCTAACAGCACAAATCTCCTCAATTTAACAATTAACAGAAAAAAGGGGGCTAGTAGACTTAGAAAAGAAGAAAAATTTAAAAAACAAAAAAATTCTATTAAAAATTTGAGGAAAATTACTGATAATTTTAATGAATTACAGCAATTCTTTAATTCAACATTATTTAATTTGGCTATTCCTTTAAATGAAGAAAATAATAAAATTGAAGAAAGGCGGTATTTAGATGCGTCTTGGGGGGATGACAGAAACAATAGAAAGTTAATTGTAGAAGAAAATAAGGTAACTGAAAAACGAAGTTTTTTTAAATAATTTAGTCGAGGAAAAATATTTTTTTCCCTCAATACCAGTAAGAGAATTCTCTTAAAAGTTTAGAATTTTAGTCGAGGAAAAAATATGCGTTATTTAATCTTTATTTTCTTAAACTTGGATTTAATAAACTTGTTTAAGTTTCCTTTTGTTGTTGTTAGAATCTCTCTCTCACTCATTTATTTTTTTCTTTCTTTTTAAGGAAGAAAAACAACAAATACCTCCATTTGAAGTAACTGATTCACTTAAATTAGCACTTTCTTCAACAAAACCAACAATAGAAAGGAGAGAAGATTTATTAGAAACTTTAATTACAACAAAACCATTAATCGAAGAAGTACATAATAGTAATTGGATAAATCCTTGGGAAAGACAAAGAGGAGAAGGAGGAGGAAATAATAATTATTTTAATATTGAACAGGTAAATAAATAAATTATTTTTTATTTAAGATTAAAGTTTAATATTTATCAAATATGTAGAATCTCCAAAATTTAATTTTAGAAAAGAAAATATTTTTCCTTAATTTTTCAGCCCAATTCAATTTCAACTTTTATTTTTTCTTCTACCTCAACCACCCCTCCAACAAACCCTTTCTCATTTTCAATAAAACAACAAACACCCCCCACCCATTCAATAATGCCCGGTGCTCATTTTTATGTAGATCAACACGTTAGTAGAGGAAGATTTGGAAGAGAACCTCCATTGGCCCCAACATTTGTTTATGATCCAAATGTTTTACAAAGGTGTGGGGGGGGGGGGAGGGGGAGGGGGGGGGGGTGGAGAACAGAAAATAATTTTTATTTTTTAAAGTCGTTATGGCTTTAATGGACTACTTTCTCAGTTTTTACCCAATGGAAAATTACAACGTTTTGGGACTGGAATAGTAGATCATAGACAAAATGGAGTTGTTTTGGTACAACAAAAATCAACAAGTTTACCTTCAGAAAATTGTAAAAATATGTAAAATTATTCTTTAAAAAATTAGGGGGTGATTTTATGTGGGATTTTATTTATTTATTAAAAAAGACGCTCGTTAACAATTAATATTTTTAAAATAATTTTTCAAAAAATTTTTTAAATTTTTTAAATTAATTTAAGTAATTTCTTCTCCACCTTCTACTATTTTCATTATCCCTTCATCATCATCTTCTCTACAATTACCACTTAAAATAGCTAAACCAATTTCTACTGGATTTAGTTATTCACCAATTAATAATTTAAATAAAAATTTAATTATGACACCACAAAGAGGGAATTCATTAAAATGGATACCTTTAAAAGAATTGGAGAAGATAATTCCAAAGAGTATTTCTTCTTATTCTTTTACAACAAAAACAACACTTCCTCCAACAACCACAATTCCCCCAACAACAACTACTTTATCTTGTAACTAAAACAATTAATTAGATAATTATTTCCCTCCATAACTCCTTCCAAAATTTCGAATTTTTCAATTAAATATTTTAAAATTAATGAAAATAATTTTTTCTAAAAAATAATTCCTCTTTGAAAAAAACTTTGTTTTTTAAATAAAAATATTTTAAAGATACATATATTTAAATAATTTTTAATTAAAAAAAAGATTTTGCTCCTCCAATGTTGTGTTCTTCTGGTCGAGATATTATAATATTATCCTCTAAAGGTTATAGTTTGGCTGAAATAACAAAAAGAAAAAGAAATATTGAAGAAAATAAAGAAATTATTTTGGAACAAAGGGGAATGACTGAAAATGAATGTAATTTAAAAATTAAAATTAAAAAATAATTTTTTAGGTATATTTTCTTGTATGGTTAATATAGCCAAAGGAAAACAGCCATTTAAATGTTTAAGTGCAACTTTTGATCAAATAGAAAATAAATGTTTACTTTACGGCCCTGGAAGTAGTGCTGATGGAAGTGTTAGATTGGTAGAGTGGGGGTTAATTTAAATAAAAGGAGGGGGGAATTAAGGAGGAAATGTTTCCAATTTAAAAATATTTTTAATTAAACTCGATAATTCTAGAGGATATACGTACTGTTTATGAGATATTGTTTCTCGTTATATATACCTTCCATTTATGTCTAAACTTCAATTTAGTCTCTACATTTTTTAAAATTTATTTGATTAATGGATAAGGGAATCTACCTAGAATATATATCCCCAGTATACTAAGAAAGGTCCTGCCTACATAAAATCCCCAATTTCAAAACTATAGAAAGGGGCTTATAAACAAAAAAGTTTTCTAGAATTTATTTTTCAATTTTTAGATACCAAACACAAATTCAATTCATTTTGAAAAAGGGTGTATAAACGAGGATTTAGTTAATTACTGTAATGGACTACCTATTTATCGTTACCCCCAAAAATCATTAATTGGTTATGCTATAGGCTCTAAATATTCTGAAACTTTAATTAATTGTTTGGAGAATTGTTGGTTATATGAAGATGTTGAAAATAAAAAGTGTAAATCTGTGGTAAGGGGTTTTTTAAATAAATATGAGAATTGAAGAAAATTGAATGATAATTTTTTGATTCGGTTATTGGAAGAATTTTTTTAGGATTGACAAAAAAAGGCTTTTTAATATAAAATTCATCCTCCTCAATCTTTAATGAAAGCTTTGTTTTTTTAGTTATTACCTATATCAGGTACTGGACATAGTTTAAAAAAAGTCCGCAATAATTTTAAGCGAAAATGTTATTTTAAATTCACAATTTTTTTAATTTTTAAAATTATTTTTAAAAAGATGTTTTATTATGAAGAAAATTTAAATAATTTAAATTCTTCACATAATTGCATATTAAATTCACAAAATTTCGAAAATATTCCTTCAAATTATTTTGTTGATGAAAATGAAGTTTTGGTTGATTATGCTTCTTTTGAAGGTTGTAAAAAAGAGGGTGAAGATGGGGAAGAAATTAATGGAGAAACAACAACAATAATTAATGAAGAAGAAAAAGAAGAAAATAAAAATATAAATTTTGGAATTAAAAATATAAAAATTGTTGTAAGTCAATTAAAAATAAATATTTTTGAGAGAAAGGAAAAAAAGGAGAGGTTTTATTAAAAATTAATTTTTACCTTTCTTTCAACCTGGAATCAAGAATCCTTGCTATTCCACAATCACACTTACCTCCACTTTCATCTCCAATCGGTCCCTGGGGGGGGGGGGGGGTGTAAATTAAATTAACGAATATTTATTTCCAAACTTTGCTTCCTTTCTTTTGAGAGATTCCCAAAGAAAACAAAATTTATTTTAAATTATTTTTAGTCATCAAAATTAATTTCTTTGCCTTCTCCACAACCCAAAAAAGCTTTATTAATTCCAAAACAATTTCAAAATCCTCCTTCTCGTATTTATTTAAACAAAACAACCAAAAAACTTCAATTAATAAGAAGAACAACAAATAATTTACAATTAAAAAGGCATAGTGGAGAAACTAAAATTGAAAGGAGGAGGAAAGAATAAAAAGAAATTAAGTTAAAAACTTCCAGAAAAAATTAAAATAATTAATTAACAAATAACAAAATTTTTAAAAATATTTTTCTAAATTTTCTATTGAGAATTTTTAATTTCCTTTAAATTTCTTTCGAGCTTTAATGATAATCTAGAAAAAATTATTTTGGAACTTTTAAATTTATTTAATTCTATATATCCATTAAATATTTTAATTTATTATTGTTCTCAAAATTTTTTTTAGAAATTTATTTTTTATCATTCCAATTGTTTTATTTTTTATATATTTTTATTGAAAATAGATTATTATTAAATGATTATTAAAATAAATAAAATTATAAGTATTCTCTCATTTAAATCGGATTTTATTTATTTAAAAAAGACCAATTATTAGATTTTTAATTTCACTTAAAATATTTAAAGTTTAAATTTTATATTTAATTATTTTTCAAAAAAATGTCAAAATATTTTTGTGGATTTTTAAGTTTTTTCATTCTTTTAGAATTATTTTTATTTATTTATGCTCAGGTAATTTTTGAATAATTATTTGTCCACAAATTAGGATGAAATTTATAAGGTTTGCGAAGTGTTTAGAAGATTAAATTCTTATAGTCAACTCCACCCCTCTCTCCCCTTATTTTCTGAGGTATATGTGGGATCCAAGAACGAAACCTGATTCATTTACTCTCGTCAAGATGGATAACCACGAATTTCTTTCCGGCGAAAAACTCGAAAATTTACAGACCTCCATGTCGTACTAAAAATTGGAATTAATTTTAAAATAATTTATTTTTAACAGTCATCAGATAATTCAACTGGTTACCAAATGAGTATTTCTGATTTAATTAATAAATTGCCAATTGAAGAACAAATAGTAAATAAATAAATAATTTATTTAAATTTTAAAGTATTTTAAGGAACTTCAACAATTATTAGCTGGAGGGGAAAATTTAACTAAAAGAATATTTAATGAACAATTGGATAATTGGGCAAGTAAACAATCAGAATATTTTTATGTAAATTTTTAATTATTTTTTGGGGGAAAGAGAGGGAAGGGGGGAGGGGAATTTAAAATTATTTAAATTAAATTTTTAAAAGTCTTGTTATCAAGAAATGGAACAAGGATTTTACGAAGCAAAAGAAATACTGGATGAAAGACATGATCAATTAATGTGTAATCAGACTGCGGAAGTTAGGGATGCCGATAAAAGAATTAGGGAAATTAACAAGTTTTAAATAACATTTTATTTTTAATTTTTAAATTAAATAGCAATCAAGATATTACAATGAAACAAGAAAGTGACCAAATTAATGTTTGAATTTAATTAATAAAATAAGGGAAAAGAAGTTATGTGTTCAACCAAAAAAATACCAAAATAAACATCCTCCATTTCTCATATTCCCTTTAGGGTTGGGGTTTTCGAGTCGGGCCAAAATTTGACTAAATCTTACGGATCTGGCCCCAACCCTAATTCCCTTTTTATTTTTTCTAAAATAATTTAAAAACAAAATTTAAATTAATTATTATTTTTTAAAGCAAGTAATTAATTCTCTTTCACCAATTGTTGCTCAAACAGTTATTGCATTAGCTCCATATCAAGCAATAAATTCTAACAATAACAATGCTAACACATAAAAACAAATAAAAATATTTTTGATTTGTTTGAATGAAAAAAATGTTTAAAAAGAAAAAAATGTGTTTTGCCTTTGGGAAATATTTTCAATTTTAAATAAAAATATGATAAACTATTTACATTTATTTTTGTTTTTTAATGTTTAAAAGTAACATTAAAAATAAAGATTTATTTGGAATATTTTTAGTAAGAAACTCATAAAGATTAATATAAATAATGTATATAAAATATTCAAATTAAAAATTAAGGCTCCCTGTAAGAGTTGGTGGTAGATTGTTAATTTAATAGAGAAATATCCGATTATTTATTTAAACTTTTGGAATGATTTGGTACATACATGTAGCTAGTCCTTATTGACGGGGAGCCATTCTTTCATAAAATCATTTTAAATTCTTTTGTAAATAAAAATTAAAAGATTATTTCCATAGCAAAAAATAGCCTTTCCTTTCCAATATTTTTGACCAAAATATCTTTTTCTTTTTTTTTCTAATTTATTTACAACTCCTTTTTTCAAGTTATCTTGAAGGGATAAATAAATAAATAAAAAGTTTTGGCATTAAAAAAAGAAAAGACGAAAGATATACATAAATATTCCCTTTAAAGTATTCTTCGTTTATATTTTCATCCATCACGCAAATATACACAAAAAAATTTTCAAAAAAGAATATTTTGGTTGTCGAAAAGCACCAAATAAATCCTTCCACTTTTTTTTGTTGGCAAAAGATAAAAACATTTCCTCCTCCTTTTTCTTGTTTTTCCACCCCCATTTTTGTGTTATCCCCCTATATTTAGCTTTAAAAAAAAGAGAAAATCAACTTTTGGCACTTCTCTTTAAAAACTAAAAAATATATTTAATTATAGAGACTGTTGCTTTTTTTGATATTTAATTTCGAAAAAATGGTAATAAATAATTCAATTAATCATTCTCAAACAACAGAAAATAAAAAAGACGAAAAGAAAAATCCATCGGTTTGTTTTAAATAAAATAGGGATTTTTTGAGGTTAGCAACTTGGCAGGGAATTAAGCCTAACAATTAACAAATATATAATAATATTGCTCTATGTACTCTCTCACCTCTTGCAGGTGAGAGAGTCAACGGGCAATGATTCTGCATTCATTTTTATTCAATTTAAAACATTTTAACTGCCAGTCAGTTGGACCTTCCTTACATTAATTATATTTTATAAAATTTTCTTTCTTCAAACATAGATTTTCGACTAACTTTGTGACATTAAAAATTCAACAAAGGATTTTATTTTCCTTTTAGCCACATTTTAATTTTTTATCTGAGATTAAAGAATTATAATCACAATTAATTAATTAAATTAATTTTTAGTGCCTCTTCTTTTACCGAAAACCTCTAGCCGTTAATTTAGCGTGCCTTTGCTTTTTATTAATATATTCAGTAATTGGTGGATGTATATTTTTATATTTTGAAGAACCTAATTGGAAAATGGCAAAAAGGGAAGAATTAATTGAAAGGCTAAAATGTGTTGAAAGAAATTTAGAATCAGAAAAAATAGAAGTAGAAAATGGGGGAGGAGGTGGAGGAGGGGAAGAAGAAACACATTTAGCTGGTTAGAGAGAAAAAAAGTTGAAATTTAATTTTAAAAAATCAGAATTAAATCAACTTTCTGAAACAATCAGAATTTTTTTATAAAACTTTCCGGAAAGATACTTCATTTAAATTTTAATCAGAATTTTAATTTAATTAAAAATATTTTGTAGCTAAACTTATTGCAAACAGAATAGTAGCTGGTTGTGTATTGTCTCAAGTTCGAGATGAAAGAATGGAATGGAATTTAAAGTAAAAAATATATTTTTTGATTTTTCTCTAAAAATAAATTAAAAAAAGGAATGCTGCACTTTTTGGTTTTGGAATTTTAACAACTTTGGGTTACGGAAAAATAGAGCCGAGAACAACTCAGGGAAGGGTTTGTTGTTTGTTTTCTAAAGAAATTCTTCTTTTTCTTTTAAAGTTATTTACTGTTTTTTATGGTTTTCTTGGAGTTCCCTTTACTGTTATTATTTTTACAAATTTTGGTCGTTATTTACAAAAATTTGAAAAATATTTAAGGAAACAATTTTGGCGTAGATGGAGGCGGCTATTTAATAAAAGAAAAACTTCACAACAAATTATTAGAAAAGAGTTAAGTTTAAATAATGAACATTTAAATTACAATTTAAATTAAACTAAAATAAATTTAAATTATTTGTGAGAGCTTGAAATAAATGTTAATTACCTAGGAAATGAGAGAAACAAGAATATAATTCGTAAATTATTTGTTTCTATTTTTATTTTCGAACTTTCTCTTATTTTATTTAGAAACTAAAAATTATTTACACGATTTAACAAATTAAAAAAATATATTTTTGTTTATTTTTTTTTAATTTTAAAGTAGTTTAAATCCAAAATCACCAAATTTATTAGAAAATTGTAATCTTCAAATAGATGAACAAATTGAAGAAATAATTGAAGAAGAGGAGGAGGAAGATGATGAACATACATCTCCACTTACTTTAATTTTTATTGTTATACTTTATTTGGTAAAAGAGGGGGGGGGGGGGAATTAAAAAAAATAATTTCACAATTAAAGTTTCTGGGAGCTATTTTAATTGATTGGCTAGACGAACAAGTAGATTTTCCTAATGGGATTTATTTTGCTTTTCTTTGTTTAACGGCTATAGAATATGGAAAATTAATACCTTCTGAGTTTAATTTTAATTAAATTCTTTAAATTTTTTTTTTAATTTTTAGAGTAATTTATTTACCTATAGTAATTGTTTATATTTGTTTTGGTTTGGCTATATCTACAATTGCTTTAGGTAAAAGAAAATTTTAATTAGAAATTAAAAAATAGAGAGAAAATTGAATTACATATATACTGTAAATGCTGAAATAATGTCCCTCTCTTAAATAATTACCTCCTCTAGCAAGAGATCGAAAAATAATTACCCGTCCCAAAAATAGTTATAATTAGCCTTTTTAGAAATGCTCAAATAATTACCCCCTCCCTTTTAACTACCCCCTCCAGGGAGAGGTTGAAACAATAATTACTCTGGGTAAGTATTTTAGCAAAAACGGTCCGAATAGTTTTTAGAAATAATCCCCCTCCAAATTCCTTCTTTGAAAAAATTTCTGGAAATATAAATTCGTTTAGCTTAAACTAAAAAATAATCACAAAATAATTATTTTAAATTTCCTTCTTTTTTAATAAATTTAATTTTAATTTTTTTCTAATTTTTAATAAAAATTAGAATATTATTTAAATAATTACAAAAAAAAATTATTTATTTTTAAAGATATTGGGTCTACTTATGTCAAAAAACTTTATTATTTGGGTCGAAAAATAAGAAATATTGCAAGTATTAAAATTTGGTTTGGTGCAAAACAGTTTAGACTATTTATAAAAAAATCTAGAAAAATATTTTTAGTTTACGGGTCAGAGAATTGTTGGTAGCTTTAGGACAAAATATCGGTTTAGAACCTGCTGTTTTGTGTGATTTGGATTTGGAAAAATTAATTTCGGTAATTTAAATTATTTTTAAAATTAAAAATATTTTAAAATTAAAAGAATGCTATTCAAGTAAAGGAAGGAAGGCTTAATAGAGTACCTCAAACACATATGGTAATTAATTAATTCTCTTTAATTATTAGAATTGTATTTTTAAAATTTTTTTAAACTAAGTTTCCTTTAGAGAAAGGATTTCTCATAGGGAGAAATGATTAATTTAAATTTTTGAAATACTTGTTTTTCGATAATAATTATCAAAAATTAATTTAAAAAAATTTTTAAATTAAAGATTATGGATGGAATTTGGCCACCAGAATTAGTTCCTTTATTTCTTAGAGACGGACAATTCCCCGAATGGGTAGATGCAGATGAAAGAAATAAAAGAAAATGGAGTGCCATAAGCCTTTTACAAATCCAAAAACGCCTTAGAAGCAGTTTACGTGGGGGAGGGGGAGGAGGGGAAAGAGGGGGTTCTTATCGTTCATCAACGGGACAACGTTCACAATCAGAAATCTCCAATAGAAAAAGTTCTGCAATAAATAGGGGAAGTGCTAGATCTACTTTACGAACAATTAATAGCAGTAGTCATCAACCACCAGACACAACACCCCCACTACCCCCAGAAAGACTTTCTGTTCGATTTGAGGTAATTTTTAAAATTTATCTGACAATTGCTGACAATATAACAGAATTTTTAAATCAAAAATTTAAAGATTTTGAAACTAAAAATTAATTTTTCTCTCCCCTATTAACAATTAAAATTCCCCTTCTTTTTTACACAATTTATTTATTTAACTACAAACAAAATTACAAAAATACAATACATATATATTTAACTACAAAAAAATTTCCTTTTATCACATAAAAATAGATCCAGCTTGTACACCAGGTGCAATATATGCAGAATTAGCTACTCCTCCTCCTCCTTTATTCTTCTTACTCTTATTTTCACCACTACTTTCCTCTTTACTTTTTTCTCTGTCCGATGTTGATTCTTCACTTATAGTATCAGGTGTAACAACGCCTTTAGCAGCATTTAATGAAGTAGCGCCAGTTGCAGAATTGACAGTCGATTTAGAACCTCCAACCATTCGGCTAGCTGTGGCTGCTGATTTTGTTGTTGACTTTGTTGTACTGGAAATTGAAAGAGTTCCCCATCGGCTTGCAGCAGTTCCTCCTCCAGCTCCTACTTCCATTAGGTCAAGCTCTTGTGGAACATCACAAATTGATTTTGGGAAGCCATCTGATTTTTTAATGTCAAATGAAGATTTTGTTCCTCCTGAAGAAGATGCTCGCTGACTTCCCCCTCTTTTGGTATTTTCTCCTGATTTGTCGCGGCTCTTGCTTTTTGTACGGCTATTCTTGCGCGCCCGAGCCTCATTCCTTGCAAGTTTCCACTTGTTGGAAAAGCACTTTATGGCCCACTTAAAAATGAATATATGAAAGAATACATTGAAATTAAACTCACACATAGAAGACCACAGCAAATAATACTAAGAAGGGGAATACCAATGACTTTAAAGACCATCTTCCCACTCGTCCCCCACTCCCGCTCGGCTGTTGCATCTTCTACAATCATCGACAATCTTCTTTTTCCATCATTTGGGTCCCGAAATTCCGGTTCGTTGTCGATAACAGCGATTGACTTTGCCAAAACAGCAGAAGTGTTGAGAAAAGTGAAGATTGTAGTGATGAGCATAATTTTTGAAATGTCCATTTTGAACTGAAAAATTTTTTGAGAATTAAAAGGAGAAGATTAATTAATGAATAAAATAAACTTACATTTTTATGAAATGAAGACAAGAACAATTTAGGTAGATTGGTTGGGTGAAAGATTTTAGTAATAAATAGATCTGCTTTTATATAGTCTGAAAGAAATACTTTTACCCAGAGCTACGATCGAGAAAATATTAAGTTTATGTACAAAATGTTTATTTATAAGTACATAGTGGGAAAATTCATCATTTATAAGTACAATACAAAATTATTTTTTAATTCACTTTTTTGCAGGCAAAATTTTGGGAATTTTGAGGTTAAATTTCATTCTTTAATCAAACTTACAAATATGTACATATCAGGGTTGCCGCCTGAAACCCGTACCCGAAGATTTTTTGTACCCGCGGCAACCCTGGTACATATATTTTCAATTTCGTAAATAAGGAGGTCGGATTATAAGTATTGTACATCCAAAATAAGCACGAATCGCAGCCCTGCTTTTACCTTTCAACTTATAAACAAATAAAGTTAAAATTAATTTTTAAATTTATTTGTCTGTAATTGTCATATCTCAGAGTTACTATTAAATTTAAATAAAATATTTTAGAAAATTATTTTTTAAGGAATTTGTTCACTCTTACGATGACGAAGAAGAAAAATATCCAGAATCATCACCTATAAATAAATATTTTTCAAATCAACATTTTATGCGCAAATCAGAAACTGTGCCTTCTACAAATAATCCCGATATTTCATTGGCACGTTTGTGTACATTTCCTTCGCTGGCCTTTCGTTACAGAGAACAACAAGAGATTAATAATAAGAAACAAAATTCTTTTAAAAATAGAAAAAGATCGAATCAAAAATAAATATGTATAGGTACATAGAAACTGTAAAAAATAAATACCAATTTCCTTTTTATTTTTAAATTTTAAAATCACTAAAATTTTCGGTAATCTTCTAGTTTACTGGTCCCGAGAAAAAAATTAGGAAGCAGTGCTGTTTCGATATTTTTGAGAGTTACCAGTAGGTAATCGACCATGCTGAATCCGAATCTGAGCCTAGAATTTGCTTATTTCGAACCCCAGACCCGGATTCGACCGAGTCGAATTAGGGGTAAAAATTCGAAATTAAAAATTTAGGGCTATTCTAACACGACTATTCGAGTAGAGTAGAATGGTATCAAAATTATGATGCTTCGACAATTTTGGATGAAGTTATGATGCCGGTTTTCTACACAGAAGTCTATAATAACGGGTATTTAATTGATCATAACTTCGTTTAAAATGGTCGAAACTTAATAATTTTGATACCATTCGACTCAGAATAAAGAGACGAGTCAGAACAACCATAATATCGTAATTTCGAATTTTTACCCCTAATTCGACTTGGTCGAATCCGGGTCCGGGGTTCGAAATAAGCAAATTCTAGGCTCAGATTCGGATTCAGCATGGTCGATTACCTACTGGTAACTCTCAAAAATATCGAAACAGCACTGCTTCCTAATTTTTTTCTCGGGACCAGTAAACTAGAAGATTACCAAATTTTCCTGGATTCCGATTATTCCCCCCTTTTTTCTTTTGCTTCCTTCATTTTTTCTTTTAAGGGAAAGAAAGAAGGCAAATAATTTTCAGGGAATCTAGTTGTATGTACATAGTACGCACCATAAAGTATCATATCTAAAATGCAAGGCCGGGTACTTATCGCCAATTATTTCCTTGGCACTATTTACTTTTCTTTCTTTAAAGAAGAAAATAAGAGAAGTAAAAAAAGGGTAAATGGTGGGAGATAATCGGAAAGTACCATATTCAATCACTTTTTATTCGTACTGACATTTTGTCAAATTTACCGCTATTGGTAGAATAATGTAGACGTGATAGTATAAAAGCCGGTACTTTTTTGACTGTATAACCGCGCCCTTCAAATCATCAACAACTTGTCTCTGCTCTTCGTGCTCAACGTTTGCTGCCGCCGCCATGCAAGTCTTTGTCAAAACGCTCACAGGGAAGACGATCACCTTGGACGTCGAGCAGTCGGACACCATCGAAAATGTCAAGGCCAAGATCCAGGAGAAGGAGGGGATCCCCCCAGAGCAGCAACGTCTCATCTTCGCAGGGAAGCAATTGGAGGATGGTCGTACGTTAGCCGACTACAATATTCAGGTGTTTAATTAATTTAAATCTCTCATTCTTTTTTAGCGCTAACCAATTCCCCCCATTTTTTAAGAAGGAATCTACTCTGCATTTGGTGCTTCGTCTTCGTGGTGGGCTGAAGATCATGGTTGTGGGTACTGGCCACTTCACCTGCATGAGCGATGGCAGAATCCAGGACATGGAGCTCAAAGGGGAAAAGTTCAGCGTGGAGGTCGGCGAGAGCGACACTGTGGCAGTTCTGAAGGATAAGATCAAGAAGGTGAAGAAGATGCCTCCCGCGCAGCAAATTCTGACACATCAGAAGCAGGCGCTGGCTAATGACAAGAAGGTTGGGAACCTCGGAATCAAGGCAATCTTTTTTGCCTTTCTCTAAAGTAAAATAATTTTTTCTTTCTTTTTTTGTAGAATGGCTCGGAGCTTCAACTCACCTCTACTCTGGACAACGACGAAGACGTGTTGGCTACGGGAGACGAAGACTAGGTGCCGCGTTCGCACAGGACTGAAGGAACGAAGAAATAGGTCATAGATGTATGCCGATAATTGTAGCCCCACACATGTCGATAATTGTAACCCTTTTGATATTGTGATATTATTGCCCTCATTGTTGTTTTTGTTCACAAATGTATGTATATATTGTAAACTTGTATGTATACATATTTTGTTGTGTTGATAAATAAAATGTTTAAAAAATTGTTTTGCTTTTCTAGATTAGGTTTGAGTTTCTAGGGTATTTTCTCTGAAGATCAATAGCTTTTGAGTTTTCCTTTTGAAATTCACTCTCCTTTTGTCCATTTTGCCCTTATTGCCCTTCTGACATTTTCCTCCACCGTTTGTTGAATTTATTCTCTCGTTTTACGGACTTTCTTAGTCTGAATTGTTACTCGATTTGAATATTTCACTCTTAACGTTTTGCCATTATTGCCCTTTTGTTTTTAGGATTTTTAAGTATTAATATAACTTGCGACTTACTTTTTGGGACACGCCCGAGTAGGCGCGGGCCAAGTAGGCGCGACCGAGTAGGCGCAGGCCAAGTAGGCGCAAGGCCAAGTAGGCGCACGGCCCAAGTAGGCGCAAATCTTTTAGCTTAAAATATTCAAATTAAAAAATAAGTCAGTATAAATATTTTTATGTTAATGAGTTAGAAGAAAGATTCTTGATAAAAATTAGAAGAAAGGTACCCATTTTAGAAGAAAGACACCTTAAAATCGATACCCTGTTAGTATACGTTCTACTGTATGCATTAACTAGGCAGTTCGAAAGTGTATATTTATTTTTTAATCCATTAAAAGCTTTTAATTATCAAAAGACTCCTAACTGTAGCTGGACTTTTTTGTGAAACGCCTTGATAGTCGTATCTTGATTGTTAATTGTACCTTTGTATATACTTCATGTTCCCTTTAACTGGTTAGTTCCTAAAGTCTAACTAGTTAGTCCCCCTTAAACTAGTTGAACTAGTTAGAGTATTCATAACATTGGTAAGCCACTGGAATTATCAAAGCAGCATGGCTTTCACTAATTAACAAACTTAGCAAATAATCCAAAACTTATCAGCAGCTAAGTATGGAGCTTTTATGAGAAAAATATTAAAAGATTTTTTTAATTTTATCAAAAAATAAAAACATCAACGAGCTTCACTTAATAAATTTTTTTCCCTAAGAAGGGCAGTTTTAGAAAAAGTCCAGTGTCCACATAAAGTTGCTTGATTATTATTCAGCCAACTAATTAACAAAATTAGTTGAAGATTAATAAAAAAATTTTGGGTAAAAATTAAGAAATTTACCCTTGCGCCTACTTGGGCCGTGCGCCTACTTGGCCTTGCGCCTACTTGGCCTGCGCCTACTCGGTCGCGCCTACTTGGCCCGCGCCTACTTGGGCTGTACCCTTACTTTTTATCTGATGCCTAAATAAATCTTTTCAATAAAATATTTTTAAGTTACAGGGTATTTTTTTTCAAATAGTGCTTCTTAGTTGAAATACCCTGTATTTTAAATGATTCATATTTCTATTCCATCTACTCGTACACAAACAGAACCTGATGATCCATTCAACAAATATACTGTAAAAATTTATATTTTTCTTTAATCCTAAAATAAAATTAATTTTTAAAAGGTTTATGATATTCATGTAAATGGAGCTTTTCATGCAAGTGTTCGTTATAATTTACTTTATACACTTCATGAAAAACTTGTTGAAACTTTTGGACATCGTTTAGAAGCTCCCGAATTTCCGCCCAAAAAAATATGGAAATTAGACAACAAATCTTTAAATGAAAGGAGAGAAGCGCTTTCTAAATATTTACAAGGAGGTTTAATTTTATAATTAATTTTGATTTTCGAATATTCCCCAATTTCCTCCTTTTAATTTTTAAGAAATTATTTTTTTAGTTATTTCGAGTCCAGATGTTGCCAGACATGCAATTATTGAAAATGCTTTCCTTGAATTTCAAGTCAGATCATTTTCTGCCTCAATAAGTAGAGTTGTTAAATTAGAAATTTTATTACCTGATGGAAGGCCTGTATATATTGAATGTTGTGCTGATGATTCTACAAATTGTGTTATGTTGGTTAGTTAAAGGAAGAAAAATATTTAATAAAAACTTTTTTATTAGAAACTTTGCCGGGCTATAGTTATGAATGAAAGAAATATTAGATATTTTGGTTTATTTCTTGCACATCAAAGACCTGAATTATGTGATAATGGGAATGAAACTACATCAAATAGCTCTTCTACTCGTTTCAGCATGCTTTGTATATTTTTTTTTAATTTTAATTTTTTAGCATTCAAAGACAGTCAGATTCACATAAGCATGAAAATTAGAAAATTACAAAAATAAAAATTAATAAATATATTCCGAGTATTTTGGCATGCTTTTATGTATCTGGAATCCTGTCCAAATATTTTAAAAAATGTTAATCTTTATATTTTTATTTTAAAATATTTTAGGTGTTCGTTGGCTAAAAAATTTCGAATCGCCATTCATTTCCCAACAACTTTCAAACCCCTCAAAAGACCAGCAATTTCAACATAAAATTCTCATTCGTCGAGTCTCTTGGGATCCATCACTCGAAGAACCTTTGTTAGACGATCCTGGTTCATTAAAAGTTCTTTATTTACAGGTACTAAATTTATTCTTTAATTTTTACTTCAAATATTTTAGGCATTAAATGATATTCAAAAAGGGCTTTTACAAGTTCCTTCGGATGTAAAAACAAAACTTACTTCACTTCAAGAATTTGGAGAATTTAAACAGGTTTTTTTATAATCTCTAAAATGTTTTTAAATTTTAAATAGTTTGTTCGTCTTTGTCATCTACAAGTTGGTTATGGATATGAATGGTTAGCACCTGTAATGGCAGAACTCACTCCAAAGGGTAAAATGACACTTTGTGAGTTAAAAGTTGGAAGAAGACAATTATTACTTGAATATAAAGATGTGGAAGATAATGAGGTTTTTTTTAATTTTTTTTTAATTTGGAGAGGTTGGGGTTGATGTTTGTTAGTTTGAAAGTTTTAATTTGGGTTTTTTCATTTCAGTATGTTACGTAAAACGACTATTTCATATTATTTTTTTAGACAATCCGTACATGCAAATTATTATCAAAAAGGATTCGTGTTTGGCGTGTATCTCATTTAGATAATCCTTTACAACAAAATAACCAATTAAGTACCTCAAAGATGACATTTCAACTAGAATATTTAATTCGAAGAGATGAATTTTCTGTTTTTACATTAGAAATGGAATCAACACACGCTGTTTTACTTTCTTTATTTTTGCAATCAATTGCTGATGAAATTTTACGTTCTCGTGAAGGATCCACTGTAAATTTAATTTTTCTTATTTTTCTCATTAGTTTTTGAGATTTTTATTCCTAAAAGCTCTTTTTAGGTTGATTACCTTTTTGTTTATTATTTTAACTCGATATAATTAATAATGAAATAAAAAACTTATAGGTTAATTCTAGACTTACTAGGTCACATAAAAGTTTGTTTTCTAATAAAAAAGATTCCGAGAAAATTCTTAAATAATACTTTAATGATGTCATTTCAATTAAAAAATAACTATTTAATTTGTAGAGATGAAAAACTTAATTTCACTTTAAGTCTCCTCCATATAAATTTGATGATTGTATTTCTATTCGTGCTGCAGAATCTTTAGAAGCATCAAAAGCTAATTCAATTTTGTCAGACCAATTAAGTATTAAATCTGCTAGTGGTTCTTCTGTCACTAATGGAATAGAAGGAGAAATAATGCAAAATGGTTTTGGAAATTTTGTAATAAAATTAATATCTTATCAAATGCCTTTTATGGAAAATGAAAGTTTTGAGGATGTTGGTGATGAAGATTTGTAGAGAGATGTAAATTTTTCTTTGAACTTGTTTGTATGTGCATTTATTGATGAGTGTGATAATTTTTAGATCATTTAAAAAATATTTTTTATTTTTAATATTACTTAATTAATTTTATATTTCTTTTTGCATAATTTATTGGATAATTTTTTAAATCTCTCATTTACTATATTTGTTATTTTTTGCATAATTTTAATATATTAATTATAAATTGTCTTCCAATTTTTAAAAATTTAGTTTTTAAAATTCTTACTTTTATATTTTTATAATTTTTTATTATTTTAATTTAATTTTAAAATTTTTATTTTTTAATGCAAAATTATATTATTAATAAAATTGACGTTACAGCCAAGGTTATTTTTATTTTTTCTAAATAGGATAAGAGGGTTATAAATGATTGTATGAATTTTAACAATTAAATTCTTTTATTCTTATTAGAATTTTTAACATTTTGGATATTGCTAATTGAAATAATTCTTTATTTTCACAGCTCGTTTCTTCAGTCGATACCCATCCCGAACATTTCTCTCCACTAATTCAACTTTCAATTTCAACAGACAACCGTTTATTTATTTTTGAATTTACCCCTCAAGAGGTAAAATAATTTTTTTGAAAATCTCTTCTAAAATTTTAGGCCCGTGAATTTCTCAGTCAATTAAATTCTTTGCAATAAAATGGCCACTCGTTTATATCCTCGTCTTCCGCCTGGTTATATGGTTAAATATAAAATAAATTTTTTATTTAAAAATTAGTTATTTTAGACACGTTCTACTTTGACAGTTTTTGCTGGTTCTGGTTGTTTATTTTGTGCTTTTGAATTGTTAAATGGAAATGAATTATTTTATAAAAAATGGGTAAATATTTTTGGAAATATTTTTAAAAAACTTTAATTTTTAAAGGTAATGCCTCTCGTCCATCGTTTTTTCGAACCAGAAAGTGCTCATCAATTAGGAGTTTTTCTGGCTAGTTATGGAGCATTTTTGGGTTCTCGTGAATCTTTAAAAGATTATAAAGAATTAAAATGCTCGTTATTTGGGAAAGAATTGGACAGTCCTATAGGTAAATTAATTTAATAAAAATTAATTTATGAAAATATTTGTGTGTATTTTTGAAGAAAAATAATTAAAAAAATATTTTTGATTAATTATGAAACTCCATTTCCCTGCTCAATTATTGTAAACTTTTGTCCCTGAGATTTTTAACATTTCTTAATAATTCTTTAAAGGATTAGCTGCCGGTTTTGACAAAGATGGAAAAGCAATTGAAGGTCTTCGAAAAAGTGGTTTTTCTTTTATAGAAATTGGTTCTGTTACACCTTTACCTCAACCTGGAAATCCAAAGAAAAGAATTTTTAGATTTTCTGATGAAGAGGTTTTTCTTTTGAAATTTTTTAAATTAAAAATTATTTTATAATTAAAAAGGCTGTAATAAATTGTTATGGATTTAATAGTGAAGGGGTTGGGGCTGTTGCAGCAAGACTAAAAAATGGTAAAAAAATTATATTTATTTTAATTTGTTATGTTTTGTTTTTATAATTAATAAATCCCCTATTTTTAGCTTATAATTCACAATCCCCGGTTGCACTTGGAATTAATTTAGGTTCTAATATTTTTTATTTTAATAATTTTCGTTACTTTTAAAGGTAAAAATAAAGAAACTTTGGAAGCCATTCATGATTTCGAAATTGGAATTCATCATGTTTCTCAATATTGTGATTATCTAGTAATTAATATATCTTCACCAAATACACCTGGACTTAGACTATATCAAGCTAAAAATGAATTAATTAAAGTTTTTATTTATTTTTAATTAATTTAATTTGTTTTTTAAAGTTACTTTCTGACATTAAAGTTTCACTTGAAAGAGCAACAAATAATGAAAAAAGAATACCTAAATTATTTATTAAAATCTCTCCAGATCTTAATGATGCAGAGATGAAACAAATTTCTGAGGTCTTTTTTTGAATTAATTATTTTTAATTTTAAAGAATTGGAGGGAAAAATGAAAATTGTGAAGGTTTTACATATGTTTAGAAGCTTTAGGTAGTAATAGAACTCACATCAGTTGGCAATGAGTTAGCTTTTCCTCATTGGGAAAGGATTTATTTTTAAACTAATTTGATGAATTTAGTTGTTTAGAAATAATAAAAAAAATTATTTTACTTTTTTTAGGTTTGTTTAAACCCTCTTTATGGGGTTGATGGACTTATTGTAACCAACACAACAATTACTCGTCCAGAATCATTAAGTGGAATATCGTCAAAAGATCTTCCAAATGGAGGTCTTTCTGGTCCTCCATTACGTGAATTAAGCACAAAATGTGTTGCAAAAATGTATAGATTGACTGACGGAAAAATTCCAATAATTGGTTATTTTTAGAAATTCCCCTTTTTAAAAAATAATTATTAATTTTAAAAGGTTGTGGAGGAGTCTCTTCAGGTGCAGATGCTTACGAAAAAATACGAGCAGGTGCTTCAGGTGTTCAAATTTACACAGCATTAGTCTATCAAGGATTTCCAGTTGTTGGACGTGTTAAAAGAGAATTGGCTGAATTACTCAAAAAAGATGGATTTAAAAATGTGAAGGAAGCTGTTGGAATTGACAAAAAAATATTTTAAATAAATTCATTTAATTTTTAAAAAATCGCTCAAATTATAGACAGATAAGTGGAGATTTACAATATCTGTTTTGAAAAAAAGATTGAGAGAATTATAATAATGAAAAAATGAGGAAATTTTTAAAAGGAAAATTTATGCAATTAAAATTGGATAGAGGATTTTTCATTAGTTTATGTAAAATAATCTAAGAGATTCGCAAGAAAAACCCACGAAAAATAGGGGGGAAGCACAATTTTCTTTTCTAACATTTGAGGTAACTAACTGAAAATTTTCCCTCAAATATCAAAAAATAAATTCAAATATTGAATATTATTTTAAAATAAATCAATTAAATATGCTAAATTGAAAAATAATGGGCAGACTAATTTTAAAGGAAAAATAATAAAAAGAGAAAGCATTGACAAAATTATAATCAAAAAAACAAAATTTTTGCGCGAAGTGACAGACAAACGAAAAGAAAGGAATAATCACGAATAAATAAAAAAAGAAAATTCATTCAAATTTTGTGACATTTTTGTTAGAGAATTTAATTAAGAGAGAAATGTGTGTTTGTGTTCTTGAAATTTTTAAATAATATATTCCAAAAGGTTATAAAAAACCAATTAAAGATCACAGACACAAACATCTCAAAAAATCTGTGGAGGACAAGTTTGTGAGGAAAATATTTTTTACAAAACTTTAATTATATCACCATTGTTTTTCTATAAACGGGACCAAAAAATTTAAAAAAAATTGAGAAGTCAAAAATAATTTTTTAAATTTTTGATGTAGTGCTTGGCTCAAAACTATTTGGAAGGGAAGTATTATGTAAGTCAGTTGAATGAGGGTGTTTACGTCCATAAATCCAAACTTGAAGAAGAATTAAAATATCTATTGTAATCTTTAAAAAATAAAAAGAATTTTTAGAAAATATTTTTAAAAAATTTACTTGAAGACAAGAACAAATCCAAAATTGTGCCGGACTTGCACGGACAACAAAATAAATTGTTTTGCCTAAATCTCCAATTAACCACATTAATACCATTTTTACGCTAAAAATGTAAAAATTTAAAAATAAAAAAATGAATTGTGGACCTTTCAGTTTAATAAAAAAATATTCTCCAAACTTAAAGAGAAGCCTATCCCTGATACCGTATTTACTCAAATATACACTGGGTAATTTTTTCTCTGGCTGGAGGGACATAAAACAAATACTTGCAATAAACCCCCATAAGAATTACCTCATTCCAACAGTTGATTTTCTTTGAAAATTTCGCAATAATTGGGGAATTCCAAGACATGCTTCTACAAGTAACGCACTTAATCCCAATGCTTCAACAAAATATACATTCTGTTAATTTAATTATTTTTTATTAAATAAATTTTATGCTTGGTTTCTATATTTATATTAATTAAATGTTATAAAAATGTCAATTAAATTAAGAAAAAATATTTAAATAAATTAACTTAAATATTTTATTTAAAAGGAAAAAAACTAAAAAAAGTTTGTGTCAAAAATTGGCAATTTTTTATTAAAATGTATAAAATTGAATGCTTTTTTACTTCAATTTTTATTATTAAAAAATAAAAGTAGAAAATTTTCCAATAAAAATATTGTTTTTTAATAATAAACTGTCAAATTTAACTACGAAAATAATTTTATTTCCCAACTAATTAAACCCGCTTTTAGCTTACCTAATTTTATAAATTCTTTTATTTTTATTTTAAATGTCGTAACAAAACTTTAATCAAATACTCCCCAGAATTATTAAAAAGCCTTAAAAATTAAAATAAATTTCTAATTCTGAAATCCCTCCCTTCTCAATCAAAAAAAATTTAAAAATGACCTCAATGTCACATTTCTTTTATCTTTTTAATTTTAAAACTTTTTTTTTCTAGTTTGCGCCAACTATAAAGGTGTGGGGGTTTTGTGTTCTTCGTAAATCTTTTATAAAGGAAATTTAATAAAATAAAAAGGCAATAATATATAAAATGCCTTTTCTCTCTAATAAGATTTTAAATTTAGAAAAAAGTTTAAAAAATGCAGATTATTTTTTTCCAAACAAAATTTTTATTGTTCAATTTACCAAAAATCAAAGATTACATTTATTTATTTTATTGCAAAATTATAAAAATTTAAATTATTATTTGCGGTGATTGGGGGGATTTAAAGAAAATAGTCTAAAAACCTAAAAATATTTTTAGGAAGGAATCTTAAAATTCAGTCCAGAATGTTGAATAGAAATAAACGAGAGCTCGGTTTTTCCCATGTATTGGACACCCAAAATTTTCAATCAAAATTTTAACGCAAAAAATGTTAGGAACGATTTTTAGGAAAAAAATAAATTTATGTATTTTCAAATTAATTTAATTGACATTTATTTTTAAACATTTTTGGATTATTTTAAACCTAAAAATATAATTTCCCTTAAAAAGTACTTCAAAAAATATTTATATTTTTTTATTATTTTTATTTTCCTCACCGTGTAGAAAATTCCATTAAGTAAAGAGAATATTATTGTGAAAAAAAGTAATGCCACAATAAAGCTTGACAAATCATTCCATTTCCAAAAATCCTCAATAAAGTCACCATCTAAAAAGAAAAAATTTTTCTTTGAAAGATTGAAAAAGAGAAAAATCAGAGAATTTTTTGAACAATTTTTTGGAAGAAAAACATCCCCGCTCACCCCAATTTATAAAAAAATCAAAAAAAGTCTCAACTTTTATTTAACCCCAATTTTTTCCTTTCAAAAATTAAAAATGAAATTTGATCATTCTTTAAGAAATCAAAAAAAAGAGGAGGGAAATTACTAATTAATTTGTTAAAAAATTTTTTAAATCAATTAAATAAAAAAAATAAAAAGAAAAATTAAAAAAATTATTTAAGTAATATTTAAAAAATGTTTTTAAATCAAACAACAACAAATATATTTTCACTATTTAATTCCCAACAAACAACAAAAGCACTACCAACATTTTTAATATTTTTATTAACAATTCCCTCACTTTTAATTATTTCTTTAACCGTTTTTGGGAATTTATTAGTTTTGTTATTTAAAGCTAGAGTTGGGAGAAAGAACACAACATTGTTAGTGTGGAATTTGGGTTTGACTGATTTTTTGGTTGGACTTTTTGTACTTCCGGTTGGGGCTATTTATTTAACACAGAGAAAGTGGATTTTTGGAAGATTAATGTGTAGAATTTGGGTTAGTTGGTTATTTTTAAATTTGTGAATATTGAGAGAGAGAGTGAGGGGAAATGGGGGACTGAAATAAGTAAAAAGAATTTAATTTTCAAAGAAAAATATTTTTAAGGTGGGAGCGGATGTAACATTTTGTACATGCTCGGTGGTAAGTAATATAATTATTTGGGCCCCAAAATTCCGAAAACCCTTTTCTCAGGTAACAATTTGTGTAATTTCCGTTGATCGTTATTTTGCTGTAACAAAACCCCTTCGATACAAATCTTTGGTTACTACATTCAAAATAATTGTTGTAATTGTTTGTATATGGATATTTTCTTTTGGAGTTTTGCTTTGCACAATTAGATGGGACTTGGAATGGAGCAAAAATAATGATGTTAGTTGAAGAGAAGAGGAAAATTAAAATAATTTTAGAGGATATTCAGATAATAATGAAAGTCTGAAATAGACAAAACTAAACTAGGAAATTAGAAAAAAAGATACAAATCAAACATTATATGAGAGAAACTGAATTTTAGAAATGATTAATAAAAATGTATTTTTTTCAATTAAGACATGCTTTGCCGGCCACGAAATTCGTTATTTAGCCCATAGTGTTGTATTTGCCTTCTTCTTGCCTGCTTCAGTTACACTTACACTTTATTGGAGAATTTATAGACTTGCAAGGAATAGACAAAAAGCTTTGGATAGAGGATTTTTAATGATTTTGGGTCATAATATGAATTTTTTAACTAACACACTTTCACAAACGGTTTAGAAATTAATAGAAAAAATTATTAAATTTTAAAAAATTTTTCAGACAGCTTTAAGAGTACATGTTGGCAAAAATAAAGGAATGGTTGAACAACAAAGAAGAGTATTGAGAACACACGAACGTGAGAAGTTTTTTGGAGTGTTTTTTAAATAAGAGACTTTATTTTAGGTATTGCTAAGACACTTGGAGTTATTTCTTGTTCATTTTTATTTTGCTGGTTACCATTTTTCACGCTTTATCTTCTCAGTAAGAATTTTCAAAAATAGAATAGAATTTTTTGATAGAATTTTCAAAAAATCTTAGAGAAAATACCAATTTTTTACAGAAAAGACAATCAAGTTTAGGGGACAAAATATTATCCAAAAAATTTCATTTTTCATAAACAGACTACAAATGCAATGGTTGCTTTCCATCTTTAATTATTGACATAGCTTCATGGTTAGGTTATTGCAATTCAATGCTTAATCCAATAATTTATTCTTTTACTGTCCGAGAATTTAAACGTTCTGCTTTGTGTGCAATACTTCCTTTGTGGAAACAAATTTATAAAATTTGTCCAAAATATTTGTGTAAACCCCCAGACCCTCAAACAGCTCAAAGAATTGTTCGAAAAAAACAGCAACAATTAACAAAAACAAATCAACAACTACAAAAAACTTGGACAACAAAACAACACTTCCTTTTACCCCAAAATAATAAAAGAAGGTATGTCCCTCCTAGAGAAAAGGAAAAAGGAGCAGTTTCTTCTTTAATGGTTAGTGCTAATTGTGTAACATCTGCTTTAATGGGAGGAGGAAATGAAGGAAGAAGAAAAGAAGAAAAAGAGAAGGAATTAAAAGAAGAAGAAGATAATTTAATTAAAAATGGATTTTTAAATGAGGAGGAAGGTGAAAATAAAAAATATTCTTTTGAAGAAAGTCAAATGCTTAATAGAAATGGAATGGTTACTACAACACTTTTATTAGCTACAACAAACAATAGAGTGCCCAAAAAATGTAAAAATAAAATAATTTTTATAAGATATGTACACAAGAATGAAAGTTTAGAAGAAAGATTTTTTGGAATTATTAAAATCCCAAAAAAGGACATTATTAAACATTGCAATAGAAAAAGTTTTCATTGTCAGATTTCCCTTTAAAATTTTTCAAAAAAAATTTTTTTTCCTAAAGTTGTAACAGCAACTTCACTTCCAGCCCCAAAATATATTAGTATAGACGAAGAGGAGGAAGTGGAGGAGGAAGAAGAAACAACAGAAGAATTTTTAACAAATGAAGAAATAATATTTAGAATGCCTTGTAAAATGTCTGTTAAAAGAAAAATAAAAAGAAGAAAGAGAAGACATTCTTCTTTGCCAGGAATTTCTGGAAGAAGAAAAACACAAAAATTAAAAAATAACCAAAAACAACAAAATAATTATTTTTATCATTCAAGAACAACTTCTTCTCCTATTGGAATTTTAAGAAAAGCAACAGCTAGAGCTTTGGCTTTAAAAAACCAATTTATGAGAAGTAGAAGTAGTAGCAATTTTGAAAGAAGAAAAGAAGAAATAAAAAAAGAAGAAAATAATTTGGTAAGGAAATTAAAGAAAGAGGGGAAGGGGAAGGGGGGTAATTAATTTTGCAGAGTCCTTTAAAAAATTTAAAGGACTTTCTTTTTTAAAATAAGTCCTTCCAAAAAATTTTTTAAATATAATAATCTTATTTTTAAATTTTTAAATAGAAAATTGAAGACATAAATAAATTAAATGAAAGAATAGAATTATTAGAAGAAAATAAAAAAGAAATTAAAAATGATAAAAATTTTAATTTTTATATTGTTTGTAATACAAAAGAAATTAATGTTTAAATTTTTAAAAATAAACTTACTCCAAATAGAAGAACGTTGATAGGATGGAATTAAACGCCGATTCATTCGAACAGAAATTTCCAACATTGCAACCTGAAAAGAAAATAATTTTGTAAAAAATATTTAGGCTAAATTAACATCCAATTTGTGAAAATAAATTGTAATTAATTTTTTTAGTATTTGTGGACTTAAAAAATTAACAAAAACACGGGTAATATTCTGGAAGTCGCCCCAACTTTTTTTTCATTCCTATTTGTTTCTGATTTTTCTCATTTTATAGCAAATTGCTCTTATTGTTAATGCTGACACGATTCGAAATTTTTCATTATTTGAAATTTTAAATTACTTTCTTATAAAAAAGGGTAATTAATAGCAAAAAATCCGAACGAATTTAATACATATATCGTTCAATCCTTTATCGATCAATTACTTTACCTAAGACAGGCCCCCCCCCCAAATAATTTTAAATATCTAAATATAAAACAAACCATAACTAGCAACATAACAATACTTTGAACCAAAAGAGGTGTTTCGAATTGTTTCCCAAACCTTTTTAAATTATTTATATATTTTTTAAAAAATTAAAAAAACCAAAATTCAATTCTCAAAATATTAGCAATACAAAGTGCCAAACAAACAAGCAAAGAAAATCCAGCAGCACTTTTTCTTTGATAAATTTCGGCATATTGAAAGACATACGGAATTGCACCTCCAATAACTATAAAACTGACAGCGAGGCCTAGAAGTATCATATTTAAGAGGCCCTGAAAGAAAATTAAATTTAAAGAAAATATTAAATAGTCCAGCACTCTCTAATAGAAAATAAATTATTAAATTCAATTAAAAAACACCAATGATGCCAAAATTAAAAATTAATTTTGAAAATATTTTATTAAATAAACTTTTCATAAAAGGAGATTTTAAATTTAAAAAAAGATTATAGGAAAGAAAAATAAAAATAGAAAAGAACACTATAAAAAAAAGGAATTACACAAAAGAATTTCAATTAAAATCTGAAAAATTAAAAATATGTAAAAAAAGATATAATCAAAAAGAAGAGAAACGATTCAAGTAAATGAAAACTTTTAAAGAGAGGAAATAAAGTTAAAACAATTAGAAAAAATAGAGAAAAGTCAGTTTGAATTAATGGTGAATTTTGAAAAAAAATTTTAAAATTGAAAACTTTTAATTAAGAAATACTCTGATTTAGAAAAATGTTAATCAAAAATGTCCGAGCTTGAGAGCCTTCCCAGGCCACCCAAAATTAGAAAAAAAATAAAAAAAAAACAATTAGAAAAAAAGTCAGTTTGAATTAATAGTGAATTTTGAAAGAATTTTTTAAAATAAAATTTAAAAAAAACTTTAAGAAATACCCTGATTTAGAAAACGTCCGAGTTTGAGAGCTTTCCCAGGCCACCCCAAATTAGAAAAAAAGAATTTAAAAAAAACTAACGTCAAGAGGAATTGTCTGAATTCCCTTCTGTTCAACCACAAACATTGTTTCGTTTGAATTACTAAAAAGGTGAACAACTGAATCAACTGGCGAGTCTATTTCCACAATTGGTTCCTCCTAATAAATAAAATTTTTTAAATAAATAAAACAAAAAAATACCAAAATAGCTGCAGAAGAAATATTATTTTCGTTCAATATTTGATTAGTTTCTCTTTCAATCCTGATTTGCTGCACTGAGTCATATAATCTGAAAATCGATGGATGAGAAAAGGAAAAGAAAGGAAATTTGGAAAAAAATTTGGGAAAAGCTATTAATTTTTAAATTATTTTTTGGTAGGATTAACCAAATAAAAATTGATTTTTTAGTAAAAATTAGAAAAAAACAAATTTTTCGAAAAATTTTTTCACTGAATTGTCCTTTCTGTGAATTATCCCTTAGATTTTTTCAATTTTAATCCCATAACAATTAAATAGCACCAAATTAATTCCTTTCTTTTTAACTAAAAAAGTGGATGACAAAAAAGTACCTCATGAAAATATTTATGTGTGTAAAACTATGTATGTATTCCCTTCTTTAAATCAATAAACAGCTTTTTATGTTAAAAATAAAATAGATTTATTCCTTCTTTTTTAGCCCAAGTTTGTCTCTAAGATAAAAAAAATTTTAAAAAATTAAATGATTAATAAAAATTGTTAAAAGAAAATTTTAAAATAAAGGTAGTCAATAAATGTAAAAAAGAAAAGCCTGACTAAAATCAATCAATCACTTCTTTGGTAGGAAAAAAAGTAAAGAAAAGATTAACAGAAAAAGAAAGAATTTTTTTTTGAAAAAAACTTTAAAAATTAATTTTTATTTAAAAAAATCGTTGTGATGGCAACCCCTTCCCTACACAATATTTTTTAAGAGTATTTACATAAACATGAGAAAATTTGGTGAACAAATAATAAATCAAATACACAAAAACTTTTACTTGAATGTGAATCATATGTAAAAGTTAATAAAAGAAAAGAGAGAAGTCTTCTTTCTCCTTTTCTTAAATTTATTAATCATCTTTTAAAATTATTAATTTTTTGTTAATAAAAAAGAATACAAAAATAATCTTTTAAGATTAATTGAAAATTGAAAGAAAATTGTGTCTAATCAAGAAAAATGGGACACGCCCTCCTTGTCGCGGGCCACCTTGTCGCGACCACCTTGTCGCGACCACCTTGTCGCAGGCCACCTTGTCGCAGGCCCACCTTGTCGCAGGCCCACCTTGTCGCAAAGGTTGAAAATTTTTTATGCTGATATGGAGGGTAGGAAAAAGGCCTTCTGGGCACGATCGGGGTTTTAAGGAGTAATTTGGATCGGTTTTACTCTGTTAAAACTCCTGTAGACTTTAACCGGATAAGAGAAAGTAATAAAAGGAAAAAAACACTCCTGGAAATTAACTAAAAAATTAAAAAAAAACCTAGAAAACAAAATAGAAATTCTAAACCTTCCATATTTCCAATCGTTGTAGCCGTGGGATGAAGTACGGCACGTGGCGAGTGAAGTTTAGGCCAGCCTTGAAATAAAAACCAAAGGAAAGCCTGCGACAAGGTGGGCCTGCGACAAGGTGGGCCTGCGACAAGGTGGTCGCGACAAGGTGGTCGCGACAAGGTGGCCCGCGACAAGGTGGGCCGTACCCAAGAAAAATTAGTAGAAATTTCACATTACTCACAAAAGTAAATCTAATTAAATAGTGGTTATGTCCCCGATTAAGTTGTTTTTTCCGTCTTACATTAATAACAACAACATAACAATCACTTAAATATTACCCTTTCATTTTAATTTGTAAAAAAGTCATATAAATTTAAAAACTAAAACTAAACAAAGACTATTTTCAAATAACAAAATAAATAAAAAAAAAGTTTTAACAGCCCCTGACCTATTTACTAAATCGCCAAACACTTGAACACAAAAAGAGAGAGAGAGGGTGATTCTCTCAGTCAGATATTTAGAGATTCTTTATTTCCTCTCGATATTCCCTTAAAATATCGTTGTTCCCCTCCTTCCTCCAAATGTCTGTCCCCTTCAAGGGATAAACACTTTAATTTTAATTAATTAATATTTTTTTAATTTATTGATTGAAAAAAACCTGTGATAATTTTTTATTAAAAAAAATAAATAATTTAATAATTTCTTTAAAAAATTTATTTTCTAAAACAAAAAAAAACTTTTCTTAATTCTAAAATGTTTGAATTAAATTTTTATCTGTAAAATCCAAATTAAAAATATTATTTTCTTTTTCTTCCTCTTTTTTTGTTTTTCTTTCATTTAAAGAATTATTTAATAATAAATTATTTTTTTCATTTTCGTCATTTAAATTTGAAATTGGAGAAGAGGAGGAAGGAGAATGAGGAGAGGAAGGAGGAGAGGGCATTGTTGTTGTTGATATTCTTGTTGGTGATTGTTTTGAAATCATTGGTGATATAGCTGGGGAATAAGCTGGACGAACAATTAATTTGCCTTGCTTAAATTAAAAAAAATTTTTAGATGTCTAAGGAAAGCTTGGACAAAATAGTATTGGCACTGTAAAGGAGGGGGACCTTCACTTTTCGAAAAGTTTAAATTAAATTCAGTTTGGAAAAAAATCCCCAAAATATTTATTTTTATCAATTTCCTTGACGTATAGTAGGTTAACTACTGTTAGATAAGAATATTTTGAGAATTAAAAAAATTTTTTCGATGCTCAGAAAATCAAAAAAGAGTAAAAAATTTTTAAATGAATTCTAATTCCCAAAATATTAAAAATAATTTTCTAACCTCATCACAACTCAAACAAAAATCACTCAAAACAGTGCTACATCTATTTGCAATTCTAAAAATTAATTTAAAAAAAATATAAAAAATAAAAAAATAAACATTCGTGGAGCAACAACCCGTTTATGAACACCAAAAACAATAAATAAAATTAATAAAAGTGAAGTGCTTATAGTGAAAAGTGGATGTAGAGCAAGTGATTCGAAAAATGAAATCTAAAAAATTAAAATTAAAAAATAAAGAAAAAAATTTACAGATTTTAATGAAGGGTCTAATATCCAATAATATGCACTAAAAGTTGTGGAGACAAATAAAATCAGAAGAAAAGCTAAAAAAAATTAAAATAATTAATAAGTCAAAAATAAGAAAAATTAGTTAGAATTGTTCAGAAAAATAAATATTTTCTGCAAAAATTAATAAAAGCCAAAGGAAAATCTATTTAAATTATTCCCAAATTAATTTAAAAAATAATTTAATTCTTAAAAAACCCCCGAAAACTTCAAACCTTTCCATTTTCGAACTCTTGGTTGCATTCCAGCAATAACTTCAGTTAAACGATGTTCAAAGAAAAGCATGTCTAAAATTAAAAACATTTTAAAAATTTAATTTAAAACCTTCATATGCCAAAGTAGGATCTTCCATTATTTTTTCAATAACTGTAAAATAATTGATGAACATAAACAAGAAAGAAAAAAATTAAAAAAAATTTAATTTTAATTTAAAAACAATTTAAGAAAAAATAAAAATTTAGAGCCTTTCAAAAATTAGAGAAAAAGAAAGTTAGAAAAAAACGGTTAAGGACGATTCAGTATCGCCGATTCAGTATCCGCCGATTCAGTATATGGCCATAACTTTTCTGATATCCGACCGATTTGAATAATTCTCATATCATTCGAAATGTCTCGAGATTCGACATCTTTTTCATAATTGGCCCGATCTGATCTGATGATCACAAAAAAAGTTACAGCGTGAAAACCGATTTTTTAAGCCTGTGACGTCGTTTATCAGTGATAACTTTTTGTAAAGTGATCAGATCAGGTCAGTCCAATTATGAAAAAGATGCAGCACCCCGAGGCCTATCAAATCATATATAATAATTTCTACAATATTGATCGAGCAAAAAGTTATGGCCAAAAAGCCCAAATACTGAATCGGCCAATACTGAATCGGCTATACTGAATTGGCGATACTGAATCGGCGATACTGAATCGTCCCCTACCCAGAAAAAAAAGAAAAATCAGAATGCCAAAAAATATTTATTTTAGCAATTATTCAAAACACTTTTTACAAACACATTTTTACAATTCTGTCAAAAAATTAAACAGAAAATGTTTCTAATTTTTAAACACAATACAACAGAATTTAAAATACAAATTAAAGTTGGAAACAATAATGAAGGAAATGAAGAAATAGAAGAAGGAGAATCAAGTGAATCTTTACCTTCAACATTGGGTGAACTTCGAAAACAAATTTCACAAAAAACTCAATGTGACATAACAACAATGAAATTAATTAGAAAAGGTTTATTTTCCTCCTTTCTTTTTTATGTAAATATTTTCTAAAGGTAAATTTATAATTGCCCCAATGGAAGAATCTTTAGAAAATTTGGGATTTAATGAAAATGATAAAATATTGGTTATTGGTGGAAGTTCAAAAATTGATGAGGGAAAGGAAATTTTGATAAAATATGAAAAAACTCATTTAACTAAACTTAATGGAATTTTTAAAGAAATTGATGAAGATTTGTCTGAAATGGAAAGAAATTTTCTTAAAGGTTTTTTTGTGGTTTTTAAAAATTAAAAGAAAATTTATTTTAAGGAGAAATGCTTAATGAAATGCTTCGCCGAATGGAAAAACGTTTAAAAGAATTTACTGAACATTCACTTCAACATTTAGAAGCAATTGATGCTTTAAATATTTACACAGATAATTCTGTTGAAGAACAAAATCAACGCAATCGTGAACGTCGAAAAACACTTGTAGACAACATTCAAGAATTGTTGAGAGCAAACGATAAAAATATTTTACGTTTTGAACAATATAAAAAATCGTTAGAATTTCCAGATTTGAAACCTTAAGATATTAACCAAAAATATCGGTAATATTGAAGCGGACAGACCTCCCTTTTTTCTTCTCCAATTTTTCCCCTATATTTTGCACTTGTAGTATAAAATTAAATAATCCGGGATCTGTCCGCTTCAATATTACCAAAATATCCCCTTTAAAACATAAGTTATATATTGTTAATTATATACTTAAATTATAATTTTCCACAACTGTGAAACTTTTCCTTTTTGAATACCAATAATGATATTTAGTAATTAATAGCTTCTCTGTTTCCCCAAACTTTAATTGTTAATTTTAGCAAATTATGCGTAGAAAAGGATAAAATTAAAAAAATTTTTTTATAAAGTTTTGAACAGAATTTTTAAGTTTACATTAAAATAAATATATTATTTACGTATCAAATAATTTTATTTAAATAAAATTTAACACATTTTCTAAATACCACCGGCTTTTCTGTCAGAGAAAAATGACCTCAAAATGAGAACCTTTTAAAAAATAAAAAAATATTTTCAAAAATATATTGATTTAAACACCTGTCCAACACCAATAAGAACAATAACTGCTGTTTGACCAAGTGACCAATAAGTAACACGTTCACTCAAATCCTCTGCCCGTTTTCTTCCAGTTGCTTCACGTAAACGATGATGTGTTTGGTAATCGTCCACAATCCTAAAATTAATCGAGATAATTTATTCTTAATTTTCTTTATAAAAATTTGGTTTTTTGACTTTTATGGCCAAAAAATAAAAACCTAGGCCAAATCTAAAAACTCCATGAGAAAACAGCAGGGAGGGTACAGATCGAAATATAAACATCATTTTGAAAAAGTAAAATGAGAAACTCGAGAATTAAATTAAAAACCTTAAACGATCTGCTATAGTTCCAACGCTTCTATCCATTTGTGTCATACTAGAGCCAACACGAGGTACAGGCATTCCTCTAAATTCGGGTTCACCAACTTGCCAATCCATATAGATAACCTTAAAAAATAATTTAAAATTTAATAAAAATATTAAAAAAACCTTGTGAGAAAAAGTAGAAAATTCATTAGAAAAGCACACTTTATAAGTCCCATCAGCATCTGTCTAAAAATTCTTTTTTTAATCAAAATTTTAAAACTTATTTCTACTTTATAAGAATAACTATCAAGTTGCTTTCTCATTTCTTTATAAAGAACATTTCCATTCGGATCTTCCAAAACAACATCTACATCGTATTGTCCGCCTGTAACAACCTTAAAAACACAAAAATATGATTAATAAGTAAATTTTTAAATAACCTGAAATTCCAAAACATTATCAATTCCTTTCTTTAAATCCTCAAAAAAGCATTGATCAGCGTTGTCTGGAAGCTCAAAAGTTAATTCTGAAGCATTTGAAAGTAATATAGTGAAGAGGAACAAAAAAAGACTAAAGAAATACATTTGGATATTTAATAATTGTTGAATTTTATGCATTTTTAATTCTAAAAAATATATGTAGAAAGAAATTTAAGGACTTGATAATTGAAAAAAATTAACACGTTAATCTTACAAACGTGTAGAAAAAAAAATTTTTTATAGGAAATTTTAAAAACAGAACGCCAAACTTTAATTTTATCGGAAATTTCAAAATTTCATTCATTTCGTACTATAAAAGTTTATATTGAAAGTAATATGGAACAAGCTGCCAAGTTATTCTAAAGTTCCGTTTTCAAGACCCGTCTTATTCAAGACCCCATTTTTTGAGAAGCGTCTTTGCTTTTCTACGTTCAATGTCAGGTGTGAAATGTTTTATCTCAAAATACCTAATTTGTTTTTTTTTGCAGAGAGTTCTGCAAGGCGAAGACGTGCGAAGGCCGTGGCAACTGCTGAATGTATTGCTGCATATTCTCCAGCGACTAGAGGTTCTGGTTGTTTGGCAATTGCTGAAGATGTTGCAAACATTGTTACGCATGCAGTGAGTTTATTATAAAGAATTTTAAAGCTTCTTTATTTAAAGGTCTCAATTCCTGCTGTTGTCTTCGCTTTTCTGGAACTTCAATTGCGCACAAATACTGCAAGAGAATTTTTTGTTCTAGCTCTATATGGTGGAATGATGCTTTCATTGTTTGCTGTTTCGGCCGTTTATCACTTCATTTGTCTACTTGTTCGGATATATCCAACCGGGGAGGGTTACAAGTAAATAATTTCATCAAAAGTTTAAAAAATATTTTAAATTTTAAGGTACATGCGTGTCCTTCTTCGAATGGCTGATCGTTCAATGATCCATTTGTTTATTGCTTCTTGCTATACACCTTGGCTTTTATTGCGTGATAATGGGCCTTTTGCTGAAGATATTTGCAAGGCGGTAAATTTGTTTTTCCTTTTTTAAACAAAAAAATATTCAGGTTTGGATCTTCGCAATTTTCAGCATTTTAGCCCAAAATTTGCCGTTCAAGATGACTGCTGATAATGAAATTCTAGCGATAACAATGTATTTAATCTTGGGAGTTTTGCCTGGAACTTTTATTGGCGCTTTTACTGTAAGAAAAAATATTCTTTTTAGAGGAGAATTTCTTCTATTTATTTTTAGACTGACACTGGTGGTCTACTTCCTCTTGCAGCTGGTGGTGCCCTATATATTGTTGGACTTATTTTCTACTTTGCCGAAGGTTATCTGCCGTTCTCACATGCGATTTGGCATTTGTTTGTTAATTCTGGTGCTTTTGTTCATTACAGGGCAATGACCCAATATCTAATACGTGAAAGTAGAGAAAGTACAAGCTTCTATTACTAATTTAGAAAATAATTGTAGTTATGTATGTGTTTTAAAAACTTACCTATTTTCCCTAAATATTTTGTCCAATATTTTATCTAATTTTTTCCTTGATATGTATATAATTTAATTTTCATAAAAAATTCTTTGTAAATAAATAATATTTTTTTATATTTTACAAGACAATTTTTATTTGTTTTGAATATTTATGGTTTTACAAATATATGTAAAAATATGTTTTTTTAATTTTAGATATTAAACAAATATTAAAAATGGCTTTAGACAGAGGTGTTCTTGTTGTTTGTGGCTTTGTTTTTCTCAATATGTTGGTTACTGTGAGTTTTTATTTTCTGATTAATTTAAAATTTAATTGTTTTTCCAAGCTTTCTATTTGGTGTTATGTTTATGAGATGAAGAATATGGTTTATTCTCAATTTCCAATGCTAGATGTTGATGGTTTATCTACTACAGGGAATAATTTGCTTGATGGAATTGTATAATTTAATTTTTTTTTAATTTAAAATTTTTTTCTTTAAAAGTTGAATGGACTTTTTATTGCAACAATTATCGCTGTAATGAGTGTTATTTTGGGTCAGTGTATTTTACATCGATTAAAGTCTTGTGTTGTTTTATTTGTTAAATCTACATTTATGATGATGTCTTATATTATGCCTGCAACTATTATTTTGTAAGAAAATTTTTTTTTGATTTTTATATATTAAAAAAAAGGTTTTTTTCTCCCGCCAACAAAATTGAGCCATTGGGTATTCATAAAAATAAAAAAATCCATCACATTTCTCTCAACCAACTTTTAGCTCATTTACAATACAAGGACTAGAAAATTTTTAGTAAATAAAATTAAACAATCTTCAGCTATATTTTGTTACTTTTCAAAAGACAAAATATTTTTAATTTAAATAAATTTATATTTTTAAAGTGATACTTTACTGAAATTTCTTGGCCCTGAAAATCCTTATATTTATTTATTTACAATTATTGCTTCTCTTCTATTCACTTCTACAATTGTTGCCGTATGTTTTTTTAATTTTCAAATAAAAATTTTTAAATTTGTTTAGGCTTATTTTACCGATCGTTTGCCAACTTTTATTCGTCAAACTCTTACCATCTTGAATTGTTCCTGTGTTTCTATTTATTATTTGCGATTTCTTCCGCGTTATACAATTTGGTTCTTGATGGCTGCAATTATTCTTTGGGGTAAATATTTTAAAGAATTTTTAAAAATAATTATTTTAAAAAATTTGGACTCAAAACGGGCCATTTTATTTTTATGAGTCTATCCTAGGACGGATCCGGTTCTGAAAAAAGTTCGGATATAAGAGACTAGTCTTAAAATTTAAAATATTAATCTTTAATTAAAAAAAATATTTTTAAAGATTTATTTTCTGTAAATTCATCATTTGGACCATTAAAAGTAGCTGCATTAAATGCTCATGATTATAGTGAAAGAATTCTTCCGTTTATGTTTTTCATAGCAAAAAATAATAAAAATAAAGAAGAAGAGGAGGAAGAAAGTTCTGATGAAAATTCTGAAAATAATACTTTAAATAATTCTTCTGATACTTTTTCTGATGATAATACAACAATAAATGATGATGAAGAAGAAGAAAATTGTTCTGATGATTGTATGACTGAATTTACTTTAAATAGTACTTTTACTAATGATGAAATTGAAGATTCTATTGAAGAAGAAAATAATGTGGAGAGAACAGCTTTTGATGCGTTAAATGTTTCTGGTTAGTTTTAATTGAAAGGATTTATTTTTATAATAATTGAAGGGAGGTTGGGCGATGGAAATGTTTTTAATTTTGTGGATTTTTAGAAAAGTTTTTAATGCCTCCCTATACTATATATCTCGTTCCTGCCCCAATTTTTCTATTAAAAAATTTTTAAGGTCAAACAGTTATTGGTATGGGTGATTTTGTTATTTATGGTTTATTGGTTGGAAAGGCAGCAGCAGATATGGATGGTTGTTTTAACTTTGCTGTTTTATTTACAATTATTGGCGTTTTATTTGGGTAAATAATTAAATTTAAAAATTAATTTTTTTCTTTTCTTTTAAAGTTTATTTTATACTTTAACTTTATCTGAGGAATCTGACAACGATGATGAACCCGGTTATTTACCAGCACTTCCAATTCCGCTTACTATTGGTGCTGTTATGTATTTTTTGACGTCTTTTGTTATTGGAAAATTTAATGGAGAAAATAATTATGAGGAATTTTAATTTGGTGGTGAGGAATAAATATTTGTAAAAAAGTTTTTATATAGGTAATTATTTTTTGTTATTGTAACTAGCGATGGGTTTGGCCACTGATGGCTGCGGATAGCTGGGTGCCTATTAGGATACTCTGGCGGTTTATTTTGTTTTGCCCGTTGGAAAGCCTATCGGCTTTGGGGCGCGCTTCGCGCGCTGCTAGAAAGTTTGGATGGCCAACTCGGGCCTTTTCAGCCAACTCGGGCCTTCGGCCCTCGCCTTCGTCTTCCCCTCGTTGGGACTTAACATTCCACTTAGAGACACTTCGATCATTTGGCCCTCGTCTTCCCCACGTTAGGGAAGACGATGGGTGTCAATTTTAGACGGGTGTCATCTCGGATTCCCTTTAAGTTGGTTGTTACTTCGGGCCTTCGGTCCTCGTCTTTCCCCCAATGGGACTCGTCCTTCAACTTTTGTCAGCTAAAAAGCAAAACTTTGAAAAGTTGAAGCAAATTGCTTCAAGTTTAGAAAATTTCCATAGTTGAAGCAAATTTGCTTCGTAAACCAAAATTTCAAAAGTTCACCAATTTCTGCCACCAATTTCACCTGTCAATCTTTTTTCCCTCTCCCTACCATAATTTTCCGGATACGGTACTCCACCCCACAAATTTTGGAACCTCTGTATTCTCCTTTTTAGATGGGTGTTCAGCTCGGGCCTTTGGCTCCTCGCCCTCCCTTTTAGATGAGTGTCAGCTTGGGCCTTCGGCCCTCGCCCTTTATCTTAGATGGGTGTTCAGCTCGGGCCTTCGGCTCCTCGCCCTCCCTTTTAGCTGGGAGGGCTCGCCCTCCCTTTTAGCTGGGAGGGCGAGGGAGGCCCTCCCTTTTAGATGAGTGTCAGCTTGGGCCTTCGGCCCTCGCGTTTTATCTTAGATGGGTGTTCAGCTCGGGCCTTCGGCCCCTCGCCCTCCCTTTTAGCTGGGAGGGCGAGGGGGCCCTCCCTTTTAGATGAGTGTCAGCTTGGGCCTTCGGCCCTCGCCACTTTTCTTAGATGGGTGTTCAGCTCGGCCTTCGGCCCCTCGCCCTCCCTTTTAGATGGGAGAGCAAGGGCCTGAGCCAGGTTAAACAGGATAAAACTGGTCAACGTAAACCTATGGAGCGTAGGCGAGGCGCTTGTGCAAAACCCCGCGCTTCGCGCGGGGTTTTGCGGCACGCGCCTCGCGCGGAGTCAACGGTCGCTGGGTTCTTGGCTAGTAACATTATCCTATTCCTATAACGATGAGAAGTGCATGCCTGGCTTCCTCCTCAGCAGCTAAAACTCCACGGATGGCATGGGTAAGGAGCTAAAACAATTCAATCTTCGAGCCCTCGGCCCTCCTCTTTCCCAATTTGGGACTCATCCTTCCACTTTCAGTCATCCTTCCACTTAGAGGCACTTCGGGCCTTCGGCCCTCGTCTTTCCCAATTTTGGACTCATCCTTCCACGTACCCACTTAAGACTCATACTTTCACTTTTTCAAATGAAAAGCAAAATTTTGAAAAGTTGAAGCAAAAAAAGCTTCAAGTTTAAAAAATTCGGAAGCGGAAGTTTCAAAAATTTCAAATGCTGAAGCCAAATTTTTTCACAACCAAACATTAAGCCAAATTTTTTCAAAACCAAAAATTTCAAATACCAAAATCAGCTCGAAATCTTGATTCTAAGTCGAGATAAAGAGGCTAAAAATAGCCAACGTAAACCTATGGGGCGTCGGCGAGGCGCTTGTGCAAAACTCCGCGCTTCGCGCGGAGTTTTGCGGCACGCGCCTCGCGGGGAGTCTACGGTCGCTGGGTTCTGGGCTCGGACTTAATCCTATTTCTATCATCGATGAGCCTATTTCTATCATCGAGGAGGTTCAACGGAGACCATAGGTACGGAGCTAAAACAAACTGTCGTAACTTTGCCAAACCGAGTCGGATTTCGTTGATTTTGATGTCATTCGGCTCAGCTCGATGAGCTCTTTCGAATGAGCTATCAACAAAAAATCGAATTTTTCACCCCAAAAATGTGATTTACAAATTGAAGCAAATTTGCTTCAAATTTCGAACTTCGAAAAATGAAGCAACGCTTCCAAAATATTATGCTTCAGCTTCAAAACTTGAAGCAAAAAGTTGCAGCAGAAGCATATTTCTGCTTCGGATCCGACATCGGATCCAGCTTATCCCCCACAAAATTTCCCCAGATAAATAAAATTCACATTTAAGTTCTTCGCCGGTTTGCCCCGCATGGTCAGAGACGGAGAAAAATATTTTCTTTTCTTCCACTCATTTCACCTGTCAATCATTTCTTCCCTCTCCCTACCATAATTCACCAGATACGGTACTCCACCCCACAAATTTTCGAACCTCTAGTTTCGTCAAAATGTACCGAAAAAATTCGAAAAAAATATTTTTGAACTTAGCTCGACGAGGGCTTTCGAATGATATACAATTTGACATATCTATCATTATTTAAAAAAAATAATTTTATGGTCGGAAATTTTGGCCGAAAAAATTAACGAAATTTAAAAAAATTCATAACTCAGCCAAAGTAAAGCTTCTTGATAATTTTAAAATCCTATTCTACGAAGAAAAATATGCTCTAAATGGGAAAAATACTTTTACACTTATCCAACAACAAAAAACCCAAAAATTTTTCAAAAAATCGCAAAATTTTGGATTTTTGAAAAATCGACCCCGACGGCCTCAGTTTTGAAATTTTTAAAAATATTTTAAGTTCAAAAAATTTATTATTTTTAGTACTATTTTATTAAAGAAATTCCATCCAAAAATCTCAATCCCTTAAATAGTTATGATTTTTTAAAAATTTCAGAATATTTTTCAGAAGGGGTACGTACCCCTTTTGAAAAATTCGAGGGTCAGAATTTTTCAATCGTAGCTCGAAAAACGTGTTTTATGATGAAACCAAACACGCCGAGTCCGAATCTGAAAACGAAAAAATTCTAAAAAATTTTCCCGAAAAGTTATAGTCGAATAACCATTTCAGTCCCAGACTTTTGGAAATTTAAATTGATATACTGAACTGTATTCAATACTTATGAAGGCAAATATACTATTAAAGTGAAGCACATACAGGGGTCTATTAATGTTGTGGTCGGGATAAGTTTTAGATAGATTAAGTCCCCGAAAAGTTAGCCCAAAAACCATATCAGTTCCAGACTCAAATCTCGGATTTCAAACTACAAACTTTGAAATTAGTCTTTTTGGTTAATTCCGTTTTTGGTTAATTCCGTTAACAAATTTCGACGTTATCCCTTTTTTCCTTTGCAATCTCAAATCCCGGAAATGTCGAATCTCGAACTTCGACTTATACAGTTCAAGTTTCGACATTTTTAATAACCCCACTGAACTCCCCTCATTATTCCCTCTTGAAAGACTACCCACTCCCATATTTATCTCAACCCTAAATCCCGGCTTTCGAAGTTCGAACTCCGACCTTCGACTTTAAACCTCATCCCTTATCCCATTATACTCCCCTCGATATCCCCTCTTGAATGAGTACTCATTCGACCATGCTTCTCAATCCCGAAAATCCCGGATTTCGAAGTTCGAACTCCGAACTTCGACTTTCGACGTTATCCCTTTTCCCATTTAACTTCCCTTACTCCCAGTTCTCAAACGACTACCTACTCACCCATACTTAAAAATCCCAAAAAACCCGGATCCCGAAGTTCGACCCCTCAAAACTTGCTTCAACCTCCCCTGCTTCAACTCGAAACTTGCTTCAGTTTCGACTTTACCTTGTTTCAACTCGAAATTTCATCCATCAATCACATTTTCTCTCTCACCTATAAGATATGCCCCCAGGATTTCGTCATTTCCGAAAAATCGGACATTTTACCGAAAAACCAATTTTGTGTCAGGCATATCGACCTTTAGACTTGACATTTCGACATCGGGTTTTCTGGTTTCATCATCTCCAAATCAAGCTTCAACGCCCTCCCGGCGGAACTTTTTCTCTATCTTTATCCGTTCCGGAGATATCCTCGGTACCGACACGATTTAGGTACAAAGGAATAGAGGTACCCCCAAAGTCATAATTTTCCTGAATACTACATGAAATTTGACTCCGGACATGTCAAACTTTCAAGCCCGTATCTCAACTCTGGAAAGTGTGGGACTTTTTTCTAGCTAAAACCACTACTTTTATAGGCAAAGTAACTTTTTTTATATATATATATTAAATATTTTTTTAGATTAAATAGTAATTAAAATAATATTCTTTTTTTTTGGTATTTAAAATAGGCAATTATTTTACAAAAAAAATTCTGAGAGAATTTGATTAAAAATATTTTTTTCAAAAATAAATATTTTTTGTCTTTTCTTTTAATTAATTAATTTCCAATTCTTTTAAATATTTTTCAATATTTTCACGACTTAAAAGTAATTTAATTATTTTATTTTCATCTCTTCTTTGAAAAAGCATTTCCCCTTCAAAATCAACCATTTTATGTTTTCTTGCTCGAAGTAAAATTCCAACAACCTTTTTTAATTTAATTTTAAATTTAATTTCTTTCTTCTTTCCCTCAAACCTTATCAGAAATATATTCATAAATATTAAATAAATAGCCAAAAGTAATTATTTTATAATTAATTCCATTTTCTCCTTTTATTTTATTTCCATATTCTTCAATTATTTCACAAAGTTGTAACATTTCTTTAGCAATATGTTTTGCTTTAAAGAAAATTTTGGGGAAAAATATAATAATTATTATTAAATTTTTACCAGCTTTTTTTGCTCTCATTTCTATTGAAAATATAAAAATTAAATTTAAAATATTTTTTTTTAATTTTAAAAAATAATTCTTTCAATAAAATTTACCTGTTAATGAACCGGGAGGCTTTTAAAAATTTTTTTTTATTTATTTTTTCTTTTATTTTCTACCGGTTTTCCATATTCTAAAGAATTTTTTGAATATTTTTTTGGAATATAATTTTTTGAATAAACATCATTTATTTGGTCATTAATTGCTTTTTGCTCTTTTTCACGCATTTTTTGAACTGCTCGTTGTACATTTTGAGCTTAAAATTTAAATAAAAAAATATTTCTAGCATTTCCATTTACCCGAAGAAAAATGTCTCGGTGCCAAATCAACTCTAGTAGAGGCCATAATACTTTTACTATAATCTATTGAATTTGTTTTTTCTAAATATTTATTAAGTGTTCTCTTTCGATTTTGTTGATTTGAGGTATTTAATGAAGAAGATAAAATTGTTGGCCCACTTCCTCTTGCTTAAAAAACGGAAGTTTATTTTAATTTAAAAATAAAAATAAATTTCTTTTTTAAAAATATTCTCTAGCCTGATTCAATTGTAAATGAAAGTGTTAGTGTTGTTGGTCCTTTTATTCTTCTTTGTATCATTCTTTGTTTTTATTTTTTAAAGTAGACTTGTGATACTTTTGTTTTTTTTTAATTTTTAGGAAATTAAATAAAAGGTAAAAGAATTTTCAAAGAAAAAGATTAAATTTCATTTATTTTTTGAAATGAACTTTGGAAGAATTTTTAATTGTAAAAATATTTTTAAAAAGGTTAAAAGAATAAAAGATCTGTGGATTTTTTGAACTTTTAATAAATTTTAGTCTAGACATTTTTTAAATTTTTTTAATTAAAAATACTGTTAAAGTTAAAAGTACGTCTTTCGAATTTTTTAAAATTCTCACAAAATGTTTATTAAAAATATAATATTTTTCATAAAAAAACTAAATAAAATAATTGATCAAAAAATTAAAAAAAAATCGCAATCTGAATGAACACTTTAAAATTGCAAACAAAAGTTTTTCTTATTGCCCCTATACACTAATTGAAAAACAAATAAAATACAAACAAAAAAAATAAGAAAGCAAATAAAATTATTTTTGTGACGTCAAAACTAAAAATTATTTGTAAGAGAAAAGTCACTTCCGGTTAAAATGCACGCAGAAAGGAAAAGTTATTCTCTAAATATTTTTTTAAAAATATCGAATCAACATGTCCATACAATGGATAAGATAATTTTGAAAAAATCAAAATTCGACTTTTTAAACTCCTAGAAAATTCTTATTAATTTTATAAGTAGAATAATTTATTTATTTGACAACAAAAATTTTTCAAAAAAATATAAACTGAAAAATTACAAAAAAGGGGAAATTAAAATGTAAAAAGATTACAAAAAAATTTAAATTAAAAATTTATTTCAAAATATTCTTCTTCAATAACCAGAAGGTTCACTTTCTGGTCCTTTTCTCCAATCACTATTAGCAAAAATAGTTCCATTAGACATTCTTTGTACAGCAGTCTTTTTATTTTTTAAAAATTAATTTTTAAATTATTGTAAAAGAAAATGCTTACAACAACAGTTATTTTCTTTTCACTTTTAAATGTATGTCCACGTTCTTTAAGTGCATTTATATAACGATTGGGCATAGTAATTTCGAATTGAGTAAAGTTTGGCCGAAGTTGGTTATGAAAGCGAGGAAAGTCTTTAAATTAAAAATTTTTAGAAAAGGCGGGGGAGGGGGGATGACCCCCCCTCCCCCCTCCTAACTGGTCTGGTCCCCTAAACAAATCCTTAACTGGCTTTGTTTTTTTTGAAAGGAAATATTGACGTTTTCATAAATTATTAAAATTTAATTATTTTCTATTTATTTTATTTTAAAGCCCCCCCCCCTCCCCCCTCTATTAAAAATAATTTTAAAACTTTGTTTACCAATTGCTTGTTTAATATTCCTGTCCAACCAAAGAGCATGAAATGCAGCACCGGCAACTCCAGAAATTATCTTTATATAAATTTAAAAAAAAAAAGTAAAAATTAGAAAAATTCAAAAACCGTAGAACCTCCAGCAGCCCCAATAGAAATAACAGAATTATCCTTTTAAAAAATTAATTTTTTATAATTACAAAAAAAATTCCTTTTTTACTTACATTTTTATTAAAAATAATTAAAGGACTAATTGAACTCATTGGCCTTTTTCCAGGTTTAATAAAATTTGAAGGTGAAGGCGGAATTCCAAAATAATTTGGATGCCCAGGAGAAGAAAAATCATCCATTTGGTCATTCCAAATAATTCCTGAACTTTCACTCATTACTTGGGCTCCAAGACTTTATATAAATAAATTAGTAATTATTTTAATAAAAAAAAAGAAATATTTTTAAAAAATTGAAAGGAGGATGGGTAATAGAGATCGAGCTATGTCCAGGTCAATAAATCAAACCCTAGAGTCCAGGAACAGGTCCAGACTTTTCAAAAATCTCGATCTCTAATTGGTAATTCACAGCAAAAAAAACTTTAAAAACTTAAAAAAAAAAATATTTTTAAAAAATTTATTACATTAAATTAATTGTAGAAGTAACACTAACAGCATTTCCATATTTATCAATAACACTAATATGTGTAGTTCCGTGGTCTTCTGGAAGTGCTTGAAAACTACCACCATAAAAAGAATCTGGATGTGTTCCCCAACTGATTTTTGATCTTTAAACAAAAATTTTTTAAATTATTTTTGAATTTTTAATTTCCATACCTAACTAATTGTGCCCATTCAGAACTCGTAATATTTTTAACAATTTCAGAAGCATTTTTAACAAAATTAATATCCCCCAAATCACTTCTAGCTGCATAAGCAAATTTAGAAGCTTCAATAAAACGATGTAAAAAATCAACATTTCCATCAAAAGTACTCGTATTAAAATTAATTATAAAAAAATAAAAATATTTTTTTATTTTTAAAAAATTATTTTACTGGTCTAAAATTGAAAGAATTGATTGAGTTACTGCTGAACCTGAAGGTGGGGGAGGGCCACAAATTATTTTTCTATTTGATAATTTTGTATAAACAATTTGTGAATCTGGACGCAAAATTGCACGATAATTAACAAAATCCTCAAAATTAATTATTCCACCTTTAAAAAAAATTAAAATGTAAATTCAAATTATTTTTTGGTTTGAATAAAATTTCTTTTTGAAAATTTAATAAATTTATTATGTATCAGTGGAAACGTTCCGAATAAAAATAAGTCGTTTAAAATATTTTGAATTCAAGTTATCCCACTTATTTTTTAATAAAATTCTTCAAAAAAATAATTAAAAAACCATGTTTCTTAAATTCCTCAACCATAGCCTTTGTAAGATTACTTCTATAAAATACCTCAACTGGATCATTAGAATTTGCAAGTTTCTTTAATGTGTCAATTAAATTCTTTCTAAATAATTTTTTTTTAAATTAATTTAAACTTAAAAAAACCTCGTAGTTATTTGTTCACCTAATTTGTATACTTTCCCCGTTTTTGGATTAATAAAATGTTTGCTTAAAATTGTATCATTTCTAATTTGTTTTTCATGGGTTTTTAAAGCATAAGCAAAAGCATGAGATGTTGGATAACCTGAAAAATAGAAGAAATTTAAATAAAAAATTAAAGGATTGTTAGAAAGATTGTTCGTCGACTTTTTCTAATTTTTTGAGGATTTTAATAAAAAGTAAAAAAAACAATTTTAAAGGAAATTACCTTCTTCCATGAGATCAATTGTTGGTTTTATTAAAGAATGCCAAGGAACATTTCCACCAAAATTTTTGTATTCAATCCAAAGACCGTAAAGTTCCCCTGGGACTGCAACAGCTTCCCAACCTAAAAAATTATTTTTTTAAAAACAAAAATTAATTTACCATATCTTGAAGCATTCCAACGTTCTTTAAACATATTGGCCGTAGCAGCTGAAGGAGCAACTTCTCTAGCATCAACTACACTGCATTTTTTAGTTGTACTGTAAAAATAAAAGGAATTTTGTGTTTTTAATTTTAAGATGTCCATCTATCCATTTAAAAAACTTTATTAATTTTCAAAAATAAAAAACAAATTACGCATTAAAAACGGTCATAAAATGGCCTCCACCAAGTCCCGAGGATTGAGCATTTAATACTCCAAGACAAATAACAACAGAAATAGCTGCATCTACAGCATTACCTCCTTGCAACAAAATATCTCTTAAAATAAAATTTTTTTGAATAAAAATAAAACAAAATATAAAAACCTTCCAATAGTTGAACAAAGTTCGTTGTCTGCGGCAACAGAAGCAGAAGAATATTCCCCTAAAAGGCTGTTTGAAGGATCTGGCCATGCTGGCAAACGTGAAGAATTCTAAAAGAAAATTAAAAAATATTTGATGATTTTTGAGAGAAAATAAGAGTTGAGGGAGGAATAAAAATCCAAACAGCAAAAAATTAATGTAAATTGAGTAAAGGCGAAGGAGAAAAGATAAAGAACCTTCTTGAGAGATATTCCAATCCCAAAAATTAAAAAAATTTAAAAATTTTACATCATTTATTGCAGAGAAATAAAGCAAAGCAAAGACAAAATTTGAGATTACAAGTATAACAAGGCAAATTAACCCAACAAGATTTGTAAAACTAAAATTGGAAACTAATATTAAATTTTATTTTAAAAATTACCCAAATTCCCTAAATGATCTTCCAAATTTAATAAAATTAGAAGACTGAACATCTTCCCCATTCACTTCTATATGGACATCATTTGGCAAAAGAGGAACTTGATCGCTAAAAAATTAAATAATGAAATAATTTTATTTCCTAATTTTCCTACATTTGGGAAAGTCGGAAATTTTTGGAACGTTTTTGTGTTAAATTTTTAAAAATAGAGAACATAAAAAAATAATAATTTGTTTTTGTTTGGGTTTAGTTACATATTCTCTCGAATGTTAATTTTTAAATAAAGAATCAATAAAAAAATTGCGCAGTATTTTCTTTTTTCTATTTTTAGATTTTGCAAAAAAATTTAAAAACAAAATATAACTAGTTATTTTTAATAATTAATTTTCTCTTCAATTTTTTCAAATTAATTATTCTCACTTTTGAATTATGGCACCCCAATTTCGCATTTATTTTATTTGAACAGGGGTACCAAAAATTTTTTAGATTTTTAGTAACGAAATTTAAACAAAATTAAACTCAAAAATGGAGAAAAAATAAAATTTAATAATTAGCAGTTATTCTTAAAAAAATCAGAAAATTTCCTTGGAACACCCTGCACAAAAATGTTTAAATTAATAAAAAAAAATTTTACTTCATTTTTTCTCTCTAACATAAGCCAGCAAGTCTCAGTTCCCAATATAATGCTGTTGAGGCAGTAAATGAATGGGTGCATTTAATGTTGTTTTTCTTATATTAAAAATAAAGATAAGAAGTATATTGATAAAGAAAATTGTTTTATCAGCAATAATTAGTCCAAACATCTTTTTTATGTTAATAAAGAGTACATAATGCTAAAATAAATGTATTTAGAATAATTTTAGAAAATTTTTAAAATTTAATGGAAGGTCAAATTTTCAGAATTTTTATTTTAGAAAAGAACTTTAAAAAAATATTTAAAAAATTAAACATTCATAAGCCTAACACTCATTAATGCTCTCAAAAATATAAAAAAATGAATAAACAAATAAATTTATTAAAAATTTATATTTAAAAAAGGTTTATAATTGACGTGAAATAATAAAATAAAAAGAAATTTTTAAATTAAATATTTAAATCTACTACATCTTCACCTATTTTTTAAGCATTTCCATCAGAATTATTTTGATTATATAATAATTTGTATTTTTCTTTAAATTTCTCGTTTATTCCTTCAATATTACGAGCACCCTCAATTGCTATGAAAATTACCTAAAAATTAAAAGAATTTAATATTCAAATAACTCTTAAAGGAGAAGATATAAAAAAAGGCTCACTACTAGGGAGTTCTCCACAAAAAATGTTTACAAAGATCTAAAACTTAGACGGGCCTAGAACATAAAGTTAAAAATATAAAAGATTGAGAGGAATCTTTTAGAAAATAGCAAAAAAACCGAAGGATCTAAATTTGTGTAAAATTATTTAGAAGAGAAGGTAGATTAGTCAAAATGCTTATTTTTTTAAATAAAATGTACAAATGACCATCTTCGGTGTATATCAGGGATCCTGCCGACAAAAAAAAACTAAAATTCCCGATTTGGAAAATCGAGACGGCAGGATCCCTGGTGGCTACAAATATTTCAACTTTTAATTATTAAAAACTTTTTTACCTTTTGTGTAATAATAGTATTTGCTTCGTCATAAATTCCATCCGCTTTTATCCTCAACATTGTTCCAAAATTGTAATCATCCACAGTTTCTCTAAAATGTTCACAAAATTGTCTCCATTTTTCTTTATTTTCTCCTTTTAATTGAACCTCATTTATCTAAAAATAATTTAAATTTTTTTTTCAAATTAAAAACAAACCTCAAAAACGTCCATATCAGGAAATACTTCTCTAAAATATTTGTAAACATCTTCTTGAAATTTATTTAATTTTAATTTTGTTGTATCCACTGACATTAAAATATTCATCTAAATTAGAGAAAAATATATTAAATTAAAAATTAAAAATACATGAACAGAAGAATATTCACTAGCTTTTATTGCCCAGGCAATTTCAATATTTGGGTCATTAATGTAATTTTGTGCGTCATTAAATTGTGTTGTAGCAATATCCGACATTTATTAAATATTAATTTAAAATTTAAATGTAAAATTCTAAAAAAAAAATGAAGTTAATAAGATAATTAAAAATTGACAATCAATTAATTAATAAACAAAAAAACGACGTTTTGTCCTGTGGCGAAAAATTTTTTGGCAAAATGAATTCTCGTCCGAAATTTTTTTTCAACTCACCAAAAATAGTGATTGGTCGCTCTCTCAAAATAAATACGTATGACTCGTTTCTTTAAAATTTTATAATTTTTACAACTCAGTTACTTAGAAAAATATTTAGACGTACATAAATGATTTTTGATGTTGCGCAATTTTATTTTAAAGTTTTCTTCATTAAATAATTGTTCATTTTTACATTTAACAAAAAAAACTTTTTTAATGTCTACAGCGGTTTCTACTGATTCTGTTGATCCGATTCAAGAACAATATTTGACAGAAAATTGTATACAAGTGGACCGTAATGATGGAATAATTGGTTAGTTTTTTAAGTTTAAAGTTTTAAAGGTTTTTTTTGTAAATTCAGGCCCAGTTTCAAAAAGAGAATGTCATATGAATCGTTAGTGAATTGTTATTTACTTTAGATTTAAAAAATTATTTTAGCTTTGTTACATAGAGCCTTTAGCGTATTTATTTTTGACAAAGAACGTCGTATGCTTTTACAAAAACGTTCAGCTACTAAAATTACTTTTCCTTTGGTTTGGACAAATTCTTGTTGCAGGTTTTTTCCTTTTTCAATTTATTTTTATATATTTTTTAGTCACCCACTTTTTGGGATTGAACAAAATGGTGTTGATGGAGTTAAAGTTGCTGCAAAGAGAAAATTGTTGCATGAACTTGGAATTGACACTGTGAATGTTGGTGATATGGAGGTTATGGGACGTTTTATATATTTGGCACGATCTGATTCTATTTGGGTTGAACATGAATTGGATTACGCGATAATGTATGTTTTTTTGTTTATTTTAAGGTACGTTCATTTTGAGGTTTAAAAACTGGGAAACGTGAACAAGTTCAGATGGAAATTGTTTGGGGGGGGGGGGCAGAATTTTTGGACTCTTTTAATAAAAAAACAAATGTTTTAGAGTTACCAACTTTGATGCGGCGTTCAAGCCTAATCCTGAAGAGGTTTCTGAAGTTCGTTTTGTTACTCCAGATGAACTTAATGAAATGTTTATTGGTGGCAAGGAACTTTTCTCTCCTTGGTTCTCTCTTTTTTACAAATTTCATTGGCTCAAAACCTGGTGGGAGAAACTTGATGATTTGAAGTCTGTTCGTGAATCAGATGATGTTATTCACTCTTTGAATTGATTAGTAGTGGATTTTTGACTCAAAAAGTTTTTGTCACTTACATTAGATTATTTAGAATTTTAAGTTAAATTATTCTTTTTAAAGGAAATGGTAAGAGAACAATTTTAATTTTCATGAATGATTTTTTAGAATAATTTTCTCTTTCCTCTTAACTTGCCTCTATTTTTAAGATTACCTAAAGTAACTTATATTTTAGAATAGTTTATATTTTTATTTGTTTTATCATATTGATACAAAATGTTAAATTAAATACTTAAAAGGATATTCTTTTATTTTACAAACGTTTGAACGAAATTTATCTGTTTCGATTATTCTAAATAACTTTTTGTTGTTTTTGTCTAGATGCATTCAATTTGGAGTAGAGGAAATACAATCTTTGCCTTTACGTTGACTGTGCTAAGCGCTGTTACTTTGGTAATTTTTTTATTTTTCAATCAATTTTCAATTTATTTTTCAGATGGCCTTTCTGACATCAATGTTTGCGGTTAAAAGTGTCAAAGTTGAGATAAGCGCTGCAAATCCTCGGATGTGAGTTTGTTTAAGATTTTTACAAATTCTTTATAATTTAGACGGAGTATGTCAGATTACACTAATGAGGAAGGGAAGAGTGATCTTGCAATGGTTTCTTTAAATATACATGCAGATATGTCACCAATCTTTAATTGGAATGTGTAAGTTTTGACTAAAATTCAGATTTTTTGTTTTTTAATTTTTCAGTAAACAATTGTTTATTTTTTTGGTTGCGGAATATTCAACAATGAAAAATGTATTAAATTTAATATTTTGTTTTGAATAATTTGTTTTAGGTAATTAATCAAGTTGTTTTGTGGGATAAAATTGTAAAACGCCCGGATTCGCAAGTGATTTTGGAAGAATCGGTTTTTTTTAATTTTTGAGTATTTTTATGTTTTTTTTCTTCACAGATTCACCCAAAATATTATTTTCTGGATGATGGTTCAAATTTGCTTAGTCATCAAAATGTAACTCTTATTCTTAAATGGAATATAGTGCCAAATGCAGGACGTTTAGAGGATTCTCAGGGTGATGGTCAATTTATTCTTAAATTTCCGTCCAATTATGTTTCTGGTCGTTTTTGAGGATTCTAACAAAATTAAATTCCCAGCTATTCTTTTTCTATGTAAATTTTATGATTGTATCTTTTTGGGATATTTTAAATTATGATCTTCTTTTTTCTGCCTTTTAACTATCAACTATTTTTAGTGTATGTAAACAAAATCGAAAATGTTTTGTTGTGTTATTCAACATTTGTTTACATATCATTTTATCACTAAAAGATTGTAAAAAGAATGTTTTAATGGTTTTGCTTGGGGTTTAGAGACCTTAAATTTTATGGGCTTTTTCGGGAGTCGGGATTAAAACCCCGTAAAATTTCTGTCATGCCTTTAATTAGCTTCATTTCTTGGTCAAAATATTTTCTCCTTGTATTTGAGGACATCAAATCTATTATTTCTGTGTTGTTGATTAATTGATTAAATCATAAAAGTTGAAGTTTTATTTGATTTTTTCTTTAAATGTTTATTAATTTCAATAATTATTTCGATATGTTTTTGCTTAAATTTATGATTAAAATATGGATGAAAATTGCCGTTACTGGATTTGGCCCCTTTGGTGATTATTCAACAAATCCAAGTTCGGTGGTTGTAAATGGATTGAAGGATGATTTTAATGTTGAGGGCATTGAATTGATTACTAGAATAGTTGATGTGGACTATGTGGAGGCAAAGAAATGTTCTGAATGGGCTTGCTCTAAAGGCAGTGACGTAAGAATTTTTATTTTTAATGTTTAGTTTATCTGGCAAACCAGTCTTTCTCGTATTAGGCTATTCATAACGTATCTATTTGTAGACCTGGGGAAAATTCGTTTTTTACTTTTAAAAATATTTAACAAGTTCTAATTTCAGTTTGTGGTTCATGTTGGAGTTCAACCAACACCTGGCAAACTGATGATAGAATCAAAATCCTTTAAGGATGGCTACATTTATCCAGATATTAATGGTTTTTTAATTGATTAATTTTTGGTGCTTATATTTTGTTTTTCAGGTTCTGTCCCTCTTATGAATTGTTGCAAACCTGGAACTGAGGAAGATTCAGAGCTTGATACTTGTATTTGTTGTGATGATGTAAAACAATTTGTCTTGGATTCACTTAGTTTAGAGGAGCTTCCACTTGAAATTGAAGTTTCAAATAATCCGGGAAGGTTTGTTTGAGAATAGCTAAACAATTGTTAGATATAAGGATTTTATTGTAATGCAAGACATTCGTTCTTGATGAGTATTTCTTAACCCAAAGTCCTAATTAATTCTGCAATTGAACTTTTTCTATTTTTAGATATCTTTGTGCCTATATTTTTTATTGCTCATTATTTGCCACACGTGGTCGTTCACTTTTTGTTCACATTCCACCATTTGATCATGAATGTACAGCTGAACTGCTCATTCTTGTGTTAAAACAAATTTTAATTGCGATATACAAACTTTATTTGAATCAAAATGTGAATGTACAAAGTGTATAAAATTACTAAAAAAATTTTATATTTTTTTTACATTGAAGGAGTTTGCTCCGCATTCTCGATGATTATTTTTGTAGTTTTTTAAGAGAAATTAATTTTTTAAACATTTTTCGATTTATCTTTAAATAAATGGGAAGATGGGAAAAAGAAAGCACCAACATCACCACGAGGACGACGAAGCTCTGGGCGATAGTGAGGCTTCTGTTGCTGCTTCAAGTTCAACAAACAGGAATGACGATTTCTTCGTTTCCCCACCTTTAAAATGGAGCAAGCGAGAAATAAGTTCGATTGACGGAGACAATATTGGAATAAATGGAACATCAGAACATTTCCCTACAAAATTAAATGGACATATTCAAGAGAATGAAGTCAAGAAAGCAATTTGGCTTGTGAGGAAACCGAAGAATGTGAGGAGGGTTTTTGATGTTAAAATAATATTTTTTATTTTAGATGCCAATTGAACAATTAAATGGATTGAGATTTTCGAGAAAGCCCAAATATAGCACACAGGAATTTTCAATGGAAAATGACGGAAATGAAAGAAGTACAAAATTTGAGTGTCGACTTGCACGTCCGACATGTGCAATGTTACATGCAACGTCTGAAGAAACTAGCAATCAAAAGCCAAAAATGATTCCAGGTTATTTTTAAATTAGAAAATTTCTCCATTCATTTTTTGAACTGAAAAGGGGATTTTGATCTTGTTTAAATTTTGACAAAAAATTAAAAAACATTTTTAGGTAATTTCATCAGAGGTACAGCTTGGATTGGCGAGAACTTATCAATAGAAAGTTGTACCAGTTCTAGCGCTGCAACAACTTCTAGCGAAATGTCATTTCTAACGGGTATAGATGAATTTCAAGATCCAGAAATTAACAAAATTCAATTTCATTCCATTCGGCGTAAACCGCGATTAAATTTGAAAAAATTGAAAGAACGATTAAAACCACATGGAGTGCTACAAATTGATGAGGATGAAGAGGAACAAGACGAAGAAATACAAGAAGATATAAAACCAAATGTTGAAATGATGAGAAAAAAGCAAAAATTGAAATGAAGAGGAAAATTAGAATTAATAAAACCCATTACGGGCAAAATTTGCAAAAAATTACAAATATTTCTCATTTCTAAAGTGTCTTAAATTTTGTTGATTTCTTTAAATTTGTTGACAAAAATGCTCACTTTGTGATTATTTTTAAATAAAATTCCTAAATGTTTTTTTGACAGGGTTCCAGACATTTTTTTATTTTTATATAAATAAATGTTTAAAACAATTTTTTGAGAAACTAAACAACTCTCAATAAATACAAAAATACCTAAATAATATTTTTATCTTTTATCTTCATTTAGCTTGTGTCTGGATGGTAAATATCATCATCAGCGATACACTTAAAAATAATTTTAGGTTTATAAAATTAAAAAAAATATTTACATAAAATTCAACAAACACCATTTGGTCCGATTGTGGAATAAGTAACTAAAAGAAAAATTAATTTTGGGAATTGAGCTTTAGGGGCCCCATCTTCATTTGACCTTATTCTTTGATCTAAACCAATCAGAAAAGTTTAATTTTAGGTTATAACAAGGTAACTGTGAACTAAATAATGATTTTGATGCATACTATAAGAAATGGATATTATCCCTTTTAATTAATTTAGTTCCAAAAGGTAGAACAAACGAAAATATTAAATTAAAATAAGAAAAACAAAGCACCTGAACACAAAGCACTCCTCTTTGATCTATTCGAAGCGAAACTTTATTTGAAAGACGTACACTCTCTGCTAGACGTTTGATTTGAATAGATCTATATTGAAAACAAACTCTTTCTTCTTTACAAGTTAAATGTTCTGTATGAGGGGCATTTGCTGGTAATTCAATCTTTAATAATTATTTTTTAAATAAATTTATATTTGGTACTTCTCAGAGTTGCGTCGTAATTGAAAATTTTTTTTCGTAATCGTAATTCGTAATTTTAAAAAAATTTTCGTAATCGTAATTCGTAATTAAAAAATTTTTTTCGTAATCGTAATTCGTAACTGAAAAAATGCCGTAATTCGTAATTCGTAATTTTTTAAAAATATTTAAATTAATTTTAAAAATCAAATATCTATTAATAATTGCTGCTTCTCCCATTAATCTCTCCAAGTCTTCTTATTTCTCTGATATTATTCAAATCCCAATTAATTCCCTGATATCCCTCTTAATCCTAATAATCCTCCGATATCTCTTTAATCAATCATGAGGAGTCATCGTCCCAGATTAAGTTTGATATCATGTCAAATCATTCTCACTTAATCCCGAGCCAACACTCTTATATTTTCAGCGCCGCAGGCGAAAAATTTTCAGAAAATTCATGACTAGATTAAAAATTTTTAAGTTTTTTTCAATTTTAAGATATTAAAAATATAAATTTACAAACCTAAAATCAAAATCAAATTTAAAAACGTTTATTTTTGAAAAAATAGGTTGTCTAAATTTTATTTCCCACACTTGGATTCGAACCAAACACCACAAAATATTAAATGAGTGAAGCTTGACTTTTAACCCACTCAACCACTGATAAACACAACTAAGGGGAGAGAAAAAATAAATATTTCTTCTCCTTTTTATTCTAAAATTTTTTGGCAGAATTATTTTCGTAATTCGTAATTTTTGCCCATATTTTCGTAATCGTAATTCGTAATTTAAAAAAAATTTTCGTAATCGTAATTCGTAATTCGTAACTGAAAAAACGCCGTAATTCGTAATCGTAATTCGTAATTACGACGCAACCCTGGTACTTCTGCCGTTTGGGGGCAGGAGTGCCTTATATTTTTTACCTTAATTTTCCCCAATTCTCCAACTGTATAAAAAGCAATATAATTTTGTGTAAATATAAGCATAACAGTTTCTGCAGAATTATCCAAATCTCGAAGGATTTCTTTAACTGGAGTTGGGCTAAGTATTGCTTTACACATTACATAAGTATTTGTAAATTCAAAATCAAGCATCTTAAAAATAAATATTTTTAGAAAAAAAATTATTCTAAATTAATTTACACTTTGTAAATTTAATGTTCGAATTGCTGCTTGTACAACAATACCTTAAAAATATAAAATTATTTAAATTAAATTCAATCTCACTATATTAGAATACCTAAAGTTAAAAATTTGATTAGCTACCGGTGGGGGATATGACTATCAATAAGCTATTTAAAATGAAGGACGATTTTTTTAAATACTGCCTGTATTTTAAAAGATAACCTTCATCTTCCTGACAAACCATTAAAGGGCTTCCTTCCCCGTCATACCACATTCTGAGAACAGAAGTATTTCCAGTAAACATATTTAAAGCTTCCTTAAAAATAAAAAGAATTTTTTATAAAAATAAGAAAAACCATAAAAACAGCTATAGGCACTCGCAAATTACAAACATTTACACGAATATTATAATCAGAAAATTGTTCATATTTAAAATAAGCACTTGCTTGTTGATTATGTTGATCATCAATTACTACTCTAATACCTTCATTATTAACAATTAAAGTACAATACTAAAAATATTAAATATTTTGAAGGTTATTTTAAGCTTTATGGGTTCCTTATGATTTTTACAAAATTTTAGTAAAAATAATTTTTGGAATACTATTTTATTGATCAACTAACCAAAGGGAAAAAGGGAAAATTGTTAAAAAATGAAAATAGGTAACCCATAAAGTTCAAAATCATTTTATTAAAAACCTCTCGAAATGCCAAAGCTTTAACAATTTGATAAATTTCCCTAGCGTCATGCTTCACAACTTCAAACCAATGCCCCTGTTCAGATGAATCAACCACTGAAAAACTAACAAAATCATCTTCTCCAGCTCCACGTTCAATTTCATCATGAATTGGTGACAAATTTGAAAATCTTTCGTCATTTTCTAGTAAAAATGGTTGTTGTTGAGACATTAAAACTGGAATTAAAATTAAGGAGAAAACTCTAATTTTCTGTCAAAATTTGATTTTGAGTTGACTAAAACTCAAGGCTGGTTAAACAGGAAATCTGGTGGCATTGTGTTTGTAGTCGTCAAAAAATAGTTAAACAATTATGAAAATTTTGATAATAAATAATACGCAAATATTGGCAATATGCCATGTGTTAAGGGAAACGGTTAAGGACGATTCAGTATCGCCGATTCAGTATCCGCCGATTCAGTATATGGCCATAACTTTCTTGATACTTGACCGATTCGAATAATTTTCATATCATTCGAAAGGTCTCGTGATTCGACATCTTTTTCATAATTGGCCTGATCTGATCTGATGATCACAAAAAAAGTTACAGCGTGAAAACCGATTCTTTATGCCTGTGACGTCGTTTATCAGTGATAACTTTTTGTAGAGTGATAAAATCAGGTCAGTCCAATTATGAAAAAGATGCAGCACCCCGAGGCCTATCAAATCATATATAATAATTCCTAAAATATTGATCGAGCAAAAAGTTATGGCCAAAAAGCCCAAATACTGAATCGGCCAATACTGAATCGGCGATACTGAATTGGCGATACTGAATCGGCGATACTGAATCGTCCCCTACCCTAAGGGAAATTTTTCTTGGTTTTTTGGTTTATTTCGTAGAGATGGCAAAACATGTGTTTGGTGAATAGAAAAACTTTCATTAGCTGGCAAATAGTATTAGGTGTGCGGCGGATCGATTTTCTGGCAGGCGTCTTGGTTTTTTGTGGGGGTTGTCGCGCGTGATGTTAAAATCAATCATCTTTAACTCGTGTTTTAACGAGTTCATTCATTCACATATAAATTAGTTAGTTTTTCCATTTATGGTATTTATTTTCCATAATTTAATGGTTAGCAATGAGAGTTGTTTAGAATTCTTTGTTACTCAAAAAAGCGATTTTAGATTTAATTTTTCATGCAAACATCGACAAGGACAAGGATTTCGACGGCCCAGGCTATTTATTTTATGCCAGGCGGGTCTTCTACCGAATCAGAGGGTGGCAGATTGCTTCCTCAAAAATTATCTAAAGTTGAACAACAAAAAACGTTAAAATCTAAAAAACAGCCAACTACTCCTACAGTTAATTCTACAACGCTTATTCATGTCACACCTCGGCGATCTACTCCAAAACAACGTATTCGAAGAGAACATTCAGCTTCAATTACTATACCACCACGAAGTGTACTTTCGGCGACTGATTTTTCTTTGCGATATACACCACCAGCTGTTATTACTGAAGGTATAAAATTTTAACTTATGATGGTTCTTTATTGGAGCGGGTTTTGTTACTTTTCTTTACAAATAAGGGGGATTCAGCTGTTTATAATTAGAGATGCTCATTTAACAATAAGTTAATGAGCGGAAGTGAAGGACTTAAATTTTGGATTTTTTAGGTTTGTCATCGACCGTTTTTGCTGGTTCGAAATTTACTGATTCGCCTTCAGCCAAAAGTCTTCCGCTTCCTCCATCTCAATGGCTTTCACCTTCTGCGTTTAACGAAAATAAAATGGCTACAAATAATGTTAAGGACAACAATTTAACAAAAACGCCAACTAAATTTTTCGTTCCAACCACTGAAGGAGATCGAAATGGAGGCAGTGGAGGTATTCGAATGCATCCACTTCATTTAATTGCGGCTACAACGATGAGCTCGTAGAAAATCTGGTAAAAGTTTTACGAAAGCTGGAGAGTAATATTTGTGTTAATTTTGCTTTAAATGCAATATTGAACGTTTGGGAAATGTTTATATCTTTTTTAACGCTAAACATTCAAATGGAGGGATTTTTAAATATTTTCTTTTTATTCACTAGTTGTTATGGTTCCTTGTTTATCAATGTTTTACGGTAATAAGATAAATGTAAAACCAAAATTGAATGTTTAGCGTTAAAAAGCTTTTAGACATTAAAGTTCACTAGAGGAGGGCGTCCAATTAAACTCATTTTATTGTTTGGCAGTTATCTCTGAGGACTTAATTTTTGTCTAAAACTAGCCAGTTGTTTTATCTCACTCTCCAAACTGGTCTAACCAAATTATCATTATTTTAGCATTCCTTTTTTAATTTTTGTAGTATTTTTTGATTTTTTTTAGAATTTTCTTGCCTAATTTTCGTTAAATTTTTTTAAAAAATACTACGAAAATATATGCTTTTATCTGCCGATTACTTCTTTATATGCCCTCATTCTAACCTTAATATGTATAAAAAAAACTCGCAACAATCACTGCACTCTACTTGTAATTTCTTAAGATGATTGAAAAGTTTTCAAAAAAAATTCTTACGTCTTTTACTCTTTGACTTTGAAAACTTTTCATTCTCTTAAAAATTAATTTAAAAATTTCATTAATTTGTAAATATTTAAATCTCTTCTCTCTCTTATCACATTTTGGTTCCGCTCTTAAAAAATTTGTTTCTGAGTGTGTTCCTCCTCCTCCTCATTATGTGCACATAAACAATAATTTGTGTATATTTTCCAATGTTTTTCCTACTTTTTAAAATTTAAAGTTTGTGCATTTGCATTGTGAAAACACAATTTTTACCTCATTGAATAAAAGTTGCGATGTTTTTTAAATTTTTTAAATACAAAATTATTGATTCTAATTTGATATTTTAAATTGATTTTTATGAAAAGGGTTTTTTGTTTCTTTCCCATTTTATGGGTTTCTTTTTTTAATTTACAAATAGTCTAAACTTTTGTTTTATTTTCGTTAACGTTTTTATGGTAATAATTGTAAGGGGCTAAGATCATGTCAAGTTTTAATCTGAGCCGGGGGGGAAAATGAAATTCACGACAAAATTGTTGGGTACTAGTGTGACGACAAAACAATTTTTTAACATTTTTTAGTATTTTTTAGTATCATCTACAAGTTTATTATGGCTGAAAGTGATAGTTCATCTACAAGTCTCTCTTCTCTCACACCATCTGAAGAGGAACATGTTGCAAAGGTTTTATAACTCTAACTTATTATTCTATTTCTTTTTAAAGGACATTAAGAGAAAAGAATCTGAAGACGTGCAAACTTCTGAAAAAGTTGACCAAGAGACGATTTCTCATGGTTCTGATTCGACAGCTGAAGATGAACGAGTTTTTGAAGTTAATTTTGGGAATGGATGTTTTTCTTAATTTTTAAAATTAGGTTGAAAGCATTAATGGACATAAAAAGGTTCATGGGAAGGATTTCTGGCTAGTGCGATGGTCTGGTTATGGGCCTGAGCATGACACTTGGGAGCCAAATGCTAATTTATTGAGCGAACATGTGAAGATTATGTGCAAGGAATATTTGGATAATAATAAAAGTGCTAAGAGAAGCCGTAACAGGCGATCGTCTGGAAAGGTTCTAATTTTCAATCTTATCTTATTAGTTAAGATTGCACTACGCCGCCATCGCATACGTAACTACAGCTAGTTTCTTTTATTTTTTAGGTGCCTCAACGTCGTTCTGTTATTAAAAAACCAAAGGCTGAGGAAGAAGAGCCTGTGCAATCAGAACAACCCAAAGTCGGAGAATCATCTGAAAAGTCTGAAAGTGGAGAAGAGGCCGATGGTACAAATTCTGAGGGATGGTTTGGAATCAAACCTGGGGAGGGATCTAGAGAACAACAACGTTTATTTGTCCCAGACAGACGTCTATCAAAGACGGAAAAGGTTTTAAATACTTTTTTACCTTCATTTTTTATTCAAGCCTATAAATTTCTAATTGACAATTAAGATTTTTTTTGTCTTATACATCGTTTATCATCTTTTTTAGTTATTGAGCGAAATTAATTGTTCACCTGGCGTTCGGGTCCTCCGAAATCAGCTGAAACCTCATTCTGGAGATTTAAGTGATGGTACTTCAGCATCAACCTCTCCAAAGAAACGTGGACGTGCTCCTAGAAGTTATTTTTGTCTCTATTTTTTAAATAATTTTTTTATTAGAATCTGCAATTGAAAAATTACTCGCAACTTCTTCGGATGTTTTTACTTCAGAATCTTCTCCAGCATTGGATGTGGGACAAAAAACGGGAACTACAGACAATGAGGAGGACAAATTCAAAAAAGACGAAAAGATTGAAAAGGTATTTAAAAATTATTAAACTTTTTTGATATTTAGAAGAATTCTTGTCTTGAAATCGGATTGAATTGTAAAAAATCCCTGAATGTTGCAAGGTCATATATAATCTAATTTTTCTTTAAGACTCGTCAAAAGAAGCCTTCAAAAGCTGTCAAAAAGTTTGATTCTTTTAAGGAGCCTGACTCCATCAACAAACAAGAAGTAAAAAATGCTGTCTCTGATGTGAATAACTTTTCTTCAGAATCTATCAAAAGTACAATAAAACAATCAGTCTCTGAATTGGATTTGGCGCCGAAGCCTGGGAGTTCCGGAATTCATACTCAACAAAAACAACCATCTCCACCAATTGTTAAACCTATATTAATTTCACATCCTAAATTGGAAAGGAAGACAGAATCTAAAGAAGGAAAGCAATATGGAGTTAGTGGAAATTTAAAACTTGTAAAGAGAGATGGAAAAAAGGTTTGAGATTTTTACAACAACTAATTTTTTATTTATATAGCTATCTGAAGCGTCGACCTCATCAAAAAAGAAAATCAAAAAAATTGCACCTGTTGCATCGTTAAATTCGAGTACTGATTTGCCTTTAAAATTATTACCTGATGGAGCAAATATTGCGTTAGAAGCTGAAAAAATGCTGAAAAAGAAGCTATTAAAAAAAGCTGATACACCTCCTGTGACTCAAGAGGTTTAAATTTAATTACTAAACTCCATAGCCACTTTTCTCTAATAATTATATTATCTTGAGGAATTTGATGAGCTTGTCCTTGATGGAAAGGTAGAAAAAGTTCGTGAATTGCTTCTATTAAATGGTCAAAAACCTTTTTTGGATCTCAATCGTTGCGACGATTTGGGTAAAGCACTCGTACATAAGGTTTTATATACAAAATTAACACAAAATTAATTTTTTTAGCTTTGTGAAATCCGTTGTGGCGTTTCTCACACACAATGTGAACTTATTACTTTATTGGTTACGAATGGGGCGCGTTTGGATATGGCAGAACATAGTAATGGACAAATTCCTTTGCATGTTTGTCTTTTTATATTGTTATCTGCTGTCTTTTTAATTCTTTTTATATTATTCATTTATTTTTCAGATAGCAATAGCAAATCGTCGCATTTGTCATGTCAAAACTTTACTTTCTTTACGAACACCGCTTAATTCACCAGATCGAAGTGGTAAAACACCAGCAATGCAAGCATTAGAATGTAGTAGTGATTACGACTTTTTAAAGTTGTTATTATCTTTTGGTGCATCATTTACTCAATGTAAAATATTTTTTTAATTTTCTAATTTATGTTTGTCTTGATTTTTAGTGTCAGATAAAGTCTATAAAGACAAAGAGAAATATAAAAAACAATTGAGAATTATTTCTGAACATGAAAGTCGAATTCGGCGTGCATTCAATTCTGCCAGAACAAACGTTACAATGTAAGGGGGTATTTCGATAAGTTAATTGTTATTCTTTAAATTTTAAGGGAAATGACGTTAAGAAATGTTTCTCAAGTTTTTGTGAGTCCTTTACACGAAGGAGAAATGATACAAAACTTTACATTAAATACACAACCACAATTACCTGATACAAATCATGCTTATGTATTGTTTGTTGCTGTTGCAGAATTTCAGTGTGACGATACAGATGTAAATTGTTTTTTTTTAATTTAAAGGGATTTATGGAAATGGTTGGTCACTTTTTGCGTTCGCGGTATTCCATCCTTGCTTTTTTAAACATAGCTGGGGAGTGCCATAAAGCCGTATAATTTTTGCTGGATTGGTTCAATTCTTCTGTATTATTAAACATTAAAATTCCAAAATTTTTAGAAAGAACTTTGTTGCACAGTCAATGCTCGAATGTGGGGTCGAAGTCCAGTTATCAGCGCTAGTATGAACGATAAGGAGTGTGTGCAACTTAAATCAGGGAATAACTTTGCTTTTTTGTGTGTTCCGTGTCGTGATAGAAATATTATACGAATGAAGTTTGACCCGGCATTGGTTGACTTTTCAGATTTAATGGTTTTGGTTCAGATGGTTTTAGTTCAAATGCATAACCGTCCAGCGAATCATTCCCGACTAATTCACTGATAATATTTTTGTTTGATCCTTTAAACTTTTCATTATATATTATCTTACATATGGGATAGATATACTCTTTTGCTCATTTATGTAATAAATTATTTGTTCTGAGTATTTTTGCTCCTTGTTTTTATTTTGGTATTCTCCATGTACATTTGTAGTATAGGTAGTCTTTGTCCCTTATACAGTCGTGGAAAAAAGTATGGAAGCGCTAGAAAATTTTTTCTTAATTTTTCATTCAAAAAATACGTTCTATATATCAATCGAAAGCTCTATTCGTATCTCAGTTGACATGTTTCTGCATTTTTCATGAAAATGAAAATTGGCCGAGATAATCCGGATCTACCGGATATACCAAATCCCATTTTTTCGGAAAAATTTTTCGGAACAAATTTAACAAACCCAAATGATAAAGCATATTTTTCTGAGTATTTTCCACAAAACCGCTTTGAAATATCTTTTTCCGGTCCAGAGATATATTCCATACTTTTTTCCACGACTGTATGTTCGCTGGCTTGCATTTGTTAATTCTGTTTAAAGTTCATGCGAGTGCATCTTTTCAAAAAATTTTTTGAAACGATTCCTTGTATTGATTTTTAAATCATACTGTATTTTCTGCTAAAAAACGTCATTGATATTTTAAGAATAGAATTTTTAAAATTTTTTTTCTTTGGTCAGTATTCTCTGTTTTTTTTAGCTAAATGTCAGAAATTGAGAAAATGGATTCAAATGATGTTCAACCTGAGAATCAGCAAGACGTGAATAAAACGACTGATTTTCCAGCAAAAATTGAGCCTGTTTTGCAAGATGAAGCTTCTGTCGCAACGACAAATGGTGGAACCAATGGAGATGAACAGGTTAAGGATGATCGTTCTAATGATGTTAATAAAGTGGAAGAGGGTGTTAGTAAAGCAGAAGAACCAAAGGAAGAAAAAATGGAGGAAGCAAAGGGTGAACAAATTGATTCACAGTTGGTTTGTTATTATATTTAAATTTGATATATTATTTTTATATTTAAGCCAGAAAAGAGCTATGAGGATAATGAGGCTTACAAAATGTTTATGTCAAAGAATCTGCACAAACCTGTAGCGGACAGTCTGATGAAAATGTTTGAAGAGATTGGGACTACAACTGCCGAGTTTGATGATAGGGCTGTAGAGATGTTGGCAACTTTTCCATCTGAACAAGGAAAATATATTATCAAAGAGCTTCACGTTAGTATTTTTATATTTTATGTTTTAATTCATTTCTCTTTTAGAATTCTCATCTTTTTGGTGTGCAAAACACTCCACAATATTTGATGTTCGTAATTCATGTTTATTATTAAAGTTTCATTTCTTTAGGTCAGTTATGCGTAACTTTCGTGATCGTCTTCGATCGATGGGAGCACAATCAGCGATGGAATTACCATTAATCCCCGGCCCTGATCCAATAAAAATGAAAGCCTTAATTGGTTAGATTTATTTTTGTACACTAATTTTATAACCTTTTAGAGCGTACCCAATATCAACTTGAAGTTACTGTTGGTCAACGCAAATATCATTCTCCTCCTGGGTATGAAGGCCCTGATCCAAATCAATCTGGTGAAGGGGGCTGTGTAAGTACTTTATTTTAGTTTTTGTATTATTTTCCTTTTTAGGTTTACATTGGTCAGATCCCTAAGGAGATTTATGAAGACACTTTGGTTCCTTTATTTGAGCAAGCCGGACAACTTTATGACTTGCGTAAGTTTTTTTCTTATATCTGATTTTTTAGTTATGATATTTTTACAATTTAAGGGATTATGATGGATCCAGTTTTGGGTAAGAGTCGGGGATATGGCTTTCTCATCTTTTGTAAGAAGGCAGATGCCATTGAAGCAGCTAAAAAGGTCAGTTTTGCATTTTTGTAGGTTTTTCTCTGGCATGGTTTTTGTTGAAACTTCTTTGCTTTTTAAAATTTATGTTTTATTGTCAGTTTAGTTTAAACCATGCCATTTCTTTTTTATTTTATAGATTTTTTGAAGGTTTTTAATGGTATTTATTTTTTAAAACATTTTAACTTCACAACCTCAACAATATCAGTCTTTAAAATAATTATAATGCTTTTTCATTGTTCTGATTTTAATACCTTTATTTATATTTCTCTGATATCCTTTTCCAATTCGAGTAAACGACGTGCATACTCGATTCACCAAACATCTTTTTCACTAAATATATCTTTTTCGCATATAACAATCATAATTTTTGTTGCAATTAATTTTAGAGCTAATATACTTTTCGTGTTCAAAAGCGGTAAAATTAACCGCTCTTTTTCAAATTTTATGAAATTTGCAGAAAAATTTACACTAAAAAAGAACGAATTTTAGTTTGACGGACATGAAATTCTGCCTGGAAAACCACTTAAAGTGAATGTATCCGTCGCGAACACTCGACTTTTTCTCGGAAATATCCCAAAATCAAAATCAAAAGACGAAATTCTTGAGGAATTGAAAAAGCACGCAGGTAAATTTTCGGCGCCTGGGTCCCCTAAAAATTGAAAAAAAGAGGAAGTAGACGCCAAATTTAATTAAATTGTTTAATTTTATTTTTTAAATTTTTAGATAATATAGATGATGTGATTATTTATACTAATCCTGATTCGCAAGATGGGCGCAAAAATCGGGGATTTTGTTTTATTGACTTTAATGACCATAAAACTGCTTCGGATGTTAAGTTTGTAATTTTCTAGGTTTTACAAATTTTTTGGTCTTTTTGGCTATCTTATTTTATAACTTTTAATTTTCTAGAAGAAGAATCACTATGGGAAAAATTCGCCCTTGGAATACTGATTTGGTTGTTGATTGGGCAGAACAACAGGATGAACCAGATGATGAAATAATGCAGCAAGTAAAAGTACTTTATGTACGCAACTTGAAGGAGTGTGTTACCGAAGAACAACTTACCTCATTGTTTGCTACTCATGGTAAAATTGACAAAGTCAAGCGGATTAAGGATTATGCTTTCATTCATTTTGAGGAGAGAGAGTCAGCGATAAAGGTTTTTATTTAAAAATTTCTTTAAGGATTAGTTCTATCGATAATTGTTCATTCATTTATCTAGTCATTATTTTAAAATGATTTATTATGTATCTAATTCTAAGTGCCCAGAAATTTTAAATTTAAATAAATTAAAATCCCATAATGATATAATAAATTTAAAAATTCTACCTATAAACTGAAAGTTTTACAAAATTATATTTTAGGCGCTTGCAGCTTTGAACAAATCTGAACTCGAAGGCGTTGAGATTGAAGTTTCATTAGCAAAACCTCAGAATGATCCGAGCGTGAAAGGAAAAGGGAAGAGTGTGAGGCGTTTTCCGCTACCAACTTATGGAGCAGAATATGGTTTTTGTAGATTCAGAACTCGTTTATCAACTTTTGTTTTTAGCTACCCCTGGACTCGGCCCTCGTAACCGAAGAGATCGTGTGGGACGCAGTGGAAGAGACCAAAGAGGAGGAGGGGGTTATCAACAAGTCTACCCAGGTGGTGGATATCTCCCTCCCGTTGGTGGATATGGTGCTTCTTACGATCCTTATTATCCTGGATATAGCACTGCTTATGGCGCTGGTTACGATATGTACGGAGCTGGAGCATACCCTCACGTAGACCCCTACTACGGACAACCATTGGCAGCATATGGTGCACCAGGACCTTCCATGCGCGGTGCAGCAGGAGTGAGTTTTAATATTTTTAAATATGAACGTCTAAACTTTTAAAATTTGAGGCTAGCAGTTACGGATATGGTGGTGGTGGCACAGTTACACGTGGTCGTGGAGGCAAACCAAGTGGACATGGCGCAGCACGTTCAGGATCAGGAAAACGAGGTAATAGAGGCGGTTCTAAGCGTGCGGGTGTTGATTATGCTGGACCGGCCTCTAAGCGTGGCGGTCGTACAGAAGATTTCTCTGCAGATGTCCCAATGAATTTGTTCTGATTGGTCAAGAAGTGGATACATGAATAAAACAATCAATTTGCTATGCACCCTTCATCGCCACATTCAGTCTTCATAAAAATGGCAATTTTTAGAAAATGTCTCATTTATTTGCTCTCTTGTTGTTTTGATAAATTAAATTTTGCATATTTTTTCTCTTGAATAAATGCGTCATTTTGACTATTTTTGTATTTTATTAATTTTATTTTGGATAAAAATGAATATCTTAAATTTAATGTGTTGGTCGTTGGTTTAATTAGCGTGCCCTTGTTGGCACGCCACACATTCCGGGCTTTCGAATGATAACGAAAAGTTATGGCCCAAAAATGACTCCGGGACTCAACCGGCGCGACTCAATGCTCCCCTTCCCAGAATTTGATGATATTCTTGTAAAATTTTGTTAATTTAATAATTTCATTTAAAGATAAATTTCAAAAAATTTAAAAATGGTTTTTAATTATGAAGGGAAGAATCCTGATATGCCAAAGACAAATACTTTGTAAGTTTTGGAAAACGGTTTATTTTCTGAATAGTTTATGGTTATTCAATTTATTTTTTTTAGAAATCCAACAATAACCGGGGCAATAGCTATGGCTGTTTCTTTTGATGATGGTATTGTTTTAGCTTCTGATCGAAGTGCTTTCTCTTCATCTATGCAACGTTTTCATAATGTTTCACGTCATTATCGTGTAAATGACCGTTGTGTTGTTGTCTTTTCTGGAGATTTTGCTGACTTTCAATGGGTAAAGAATTTAATTGAATGCAAACAGATGGAATTACAACAAGGAAATATTAAATTTTTAATGTCACCAAAAATGGTCCATTCATTTTTAACAACTCTTTTTTATAATCGGCGTTCTAAAATGAATCCGCTTTGGAATACTATTATTGTTTCTGGTATTTTTTGTGTTTATTTTTTTGGTTTAACAAAATTTCATTTTAGGGATGGAGGCAGTACCTTTCGAAGCAGGAAAATTTGAGACGTTTATTGGCGTTGTTAACCTTGTATTTTTTTTCTTAGTTTTTTAAATAAAAATATTTATAATTTTTAAGTATGGAATTGCTTTTGTGGGTAAATTTGCGGCAACAGAAATGGGAATGTTTTTGCTTCGTCAAATGCTTGAATCTCGTCGAAAAGAAGTACTTTCAAGAGAAGAGGCTATTGCTTTGCTGAAAGAAGCTATGGAGGTTTGTTTAAGAGTTTTTTGGGGGAAATTGGATATTTTCTTAAACTGACAAAGGAGTTTGAAAAAGTTTTTCGTTCAAATAAATCGTTTCGATTTAATTGTCCAATTTTTAATGGAAATGAAATTTAATTTTAAAGGTATCTCTTTATCGCAACGCCAAAACTGGAAACAGCTTTGATTTGACTATAATTGATAAAGACGGGGTGAAGAGTACAGAAATTACTGGATTTATTGGTGATTGGGGAATTGCAGAAAAATATAAGAATATTTCCCATGTATTTTAAATATTAATTGTAATTGGAATTTTGTTGAAAAATTATGTATTAAAAATTGGAATTTCATTTCTGAATTTAATAAATTTAAGATTTATAAAAATCAACTAAAAATTAATAATGTACGGACTTTTCTTGAAAACGTTGATCTAAACATAATATGAAAAATAAAGCCAGATAAGTAAGATCAATCGTGAATTTGAACTTCATCTGGCTGCAACTTGCCGTATGATAGTCAGTCTTTCTAGGAATAATAATTCGAACATCCGGACCGGGGACGTCCTAACAATATTATAGAAATTTTTAAATATTATTCGACGGGTATCTTTTTTTTTTATAATATTTTTTTATAATTGGACTGATCTGGTCTGATCATTCTATAAAACGTCGTCCTTTACCACTAGCATCCGGAGAGTGTTCGGCACGTACTGACGAAAGGTGCTGTACAAGTTAAAATTTTGGAATTTTGCTTACTGACTGAACACGAATTAAAGTATAAAATCATACAAATTGGCCAAGAATTTAAAAGTTGTGATCCAAAATAGAATCTAGGCACTGAAGCTAAGTGCCGTAATGACAAAATCCCGTCGCTTTCGTTGTTTGCATTTACGCGTTTTTACTCTTGGCGTTTTGTCATTTTGTGATGAAATTCTATTCAACCTCGAGTTAGGTGTGATTTTGTTTTTAGATTTACCTATCTTTTAATTGTAAACATTACCTATTCTTTTTTACATAGATATTTAATATTTTAATATACAATGGCATCATTAGCCTCCCAGTCACGTCATGGAACTGAGAAAGGAATTGTTTTGCGAATTGAAGGAGATTGTTTTATTTTTGTTTGGTCACCATCTCATCCTATGAATGAGTTAAAGTTTATTGACCAAGATCAACAACACAGTGTAAATAATTTGTATATTTACAAATTAAATATTTTTTAAATTTATTTATTGCAGCCTGGAGATTTTATAAGTTTTAAACTCACTGCACCGTTGGATCATCTTCAAACTTGCGATTCTATTGCTAAAATACGTCCTCCTCGAACTGTTACAGTTATTGATCGTGATCCAGCACCGATTAATGTAAGTTTGGATTATCTTGTAAAATTTGATGGAATTTTAAAACTTGCAATTTTTAAACTTACCAGAAGTGAAGGAAAAAAAACCTCCTAAATTTTTTAAAATTATTTAAATTGTTTTTTTCTATTTTCAGATTTTAGTTCAAGTTGGCTTTCCTCCTCGCGATTCCAACTATTTTGATAAGGATTTAATTGATACTTTGGATTATGGTGTTATTTTTTATTGTTACTGTCCTGAATTTGGAAAATTGGCGTCGTTTGATTTACTTGATTCTGAACCTGGGCATTTCTATAATGCTTGCATTGAACGGTTTTTCTTTTTAATTTTACAGATAATATTTCTTTAGTATTCCGTTACAAAATGATTGGATAATTAAAAAGCTTGGGACAATGTTTATTTTGGTTAATCAACCACTTACTATTATTGAAAATGAAACTGAAATTGCTCGTCTTAATTCTCTTATGCCTTGGAATCGTTTACCGTCATCAACATCTTCTAACTGTCAACCAACACAACAAACTCATATTTACCCACCAAAAAAAGAAGAAACATCTTATGGAGCGACAGTACGTGCTTTGCTTGATAATGTCCAGTTAAATGAGGGAAACACTTTAAAAACTAAGGAAAACGGTCATCAAATGGAGAATGAGGTAGTTTTAAAATATTTTTAAGTTTTTTTCTTACGGAGATTGTTTTTTTAATTTGATTTTTCATTTTGATATTTGGAGTTTTTTCTGTGTTGGATACAACATTTGGAGATTTTCTTTTTTAAATAAAATTTAAGTATACACCAAAGCGCTGGCCTCCTCCAACAAATTCTGAAATTTCTTCTACTTTAAATACGAAATTTCCCCGAAAGAATGATTTTGGGGATTTGGAATATTCCAATAATTCTTGTGGAGGAACATCTACAAAAACGGCAACAACAAACAATAATTTATTTTCTGAAAAGATTAATGACGTTTATTATGGAGAAAATGAGGAAATTAAACAAAAGAGAGAATTTCCAAATCAAAATATTTCTCTTATGCTTCCAACAATTTTAGAACAGAAATCTAGCAATTTTCAAGTTTTTTTTTCTTAAAATTTTTAAAAATTAAAAAATAATTTTTTTAGAACAATTCTGATGTTTCTTCACCTTCTGCTGTTAATTCTCCAATTTCAGTTTTGAGTAATAACAACAATAATGGTAGTCAATTTGGGGTTAATAATAAACTTGGTTTGTTTTTATTTTAGTAAAAAAATATTTTTGTTTAGAGCTGGGGAAATATGCTCAATTTATTTAAGACAAAAATTAATTTTTTAAATTTAAATTATTTTTTTTTAAGTTTCTGAAATTATTGGAACAATTACAATGCTTAATGCAAGAAATATGCAAATGCAGGCGCTTGAATTTGAGAAAAATATTTTTGAAATGTGTTGCAAATTACAAAAGGAAATGTTGGAGAAATTTTAAGTAAGAAAAAAGAAATTTATTTTAAAAATAAATTGAAAAAAAATTCGCAAATATTTAATTTTATTTTTTTTGAATTTTCATTTCTCTCGCAAAATTTTATTTAAACAATTTAAAAAGAGAATTAATATTTTTGAGTATTTTTTATTTCTCTTTTTAAATTGTTTTGTTAAATTGCCAATTATTGTTCCCGGATAAATTGATTTTACGAAAAATAAATTTTTTTTGAATTTATTTTATTTGATCAATTCACATTTTAAGGTCTTAAAAACTAAAAAATCACATTAAAAATAACTTAAAGAAATTTCGGTATTAGAGTAAATATTTTAAGAATAATTATTTAATTTAAAAATCTGTGGAGAAGGAGAATAAATACAAATTTTAATTTTTAAGCTTTTAACTTGTGAATTTCTAATTGTGTTTAAAAACATGAATATTTTTAAATTTATATAGTATTAAATACCTATATAATTAATCTTTTTTAATAAAAAAATTTCTTGTTCTCCAATTTTCCCCCACTACTTGCGCGAACCTTCACAAAGTATATCGACCTTCAAAAAATACAAAAAAAGTCTTTCTCTTTTTAATAATTTACCTTAAAAACCATTCCATATAACCGCAACTGTCCATTCTAATTTATTCAATAAATTATCTATCTTTAAATCTAATCTATACCCCCCCCCCACAAATAAATACCCTAAAAATATATTTATTTCTTTTAATTATTTGTCCTTCAATTCTCATTCTTTTCACTTTTTACCTAAATTAGAGTAATGAACCCTTAAAGTATAACTTCCCATTAATGAGACAAAATTAACAAAATTATTTTGTTTTAATTCCCGAAAGGATTTTGGGCACTATCTAAAATGAGGTGAGCATTCATATTTTCCTTTTATTTCCTTACAGTAACTAGAAATGGTCAATTATTCCTTAGTATTAATATAATTAATTGGCTAGGTACTCACCCAGACACGGCGGTCATAGGTCTTGGACCCAGAAAAATCAAAATCGCTCCATAGGATAAGCAACAAATGACAATAAAACTAATCCCCCCTCCTTTTTTTGTAAAAATTCGCAAAACATTTTTATTTAATTAAAATATTTTTTAGAATTAAATAAATATCTGTTTATATTTTCAATTTTCAATTTTATTTATTACTCACCTTTCTATTATTTTGTTCTAAAAATATAAATCAGTATTTAGTAAACACATTTTTATTGTCACAACTGTTCAAATTAGATATTTACTAATAAATAAATATTTTTTGTCAAATTACTTTTTTTAAAGGATCAACAACACATTAAGTTAACAATTAAAAAGTATCTACATAATCCTTTTCTTATAATTATTTCTT